ATGAGTCTTAAGTATTTACTGTGTCACCTGTGCTTGGAGGAGATAGAGAAGACATGACCCCTGGCCTGTAAGAGGCCTGGGTATGGGCAGCCTCAGTAATGGTAACTGAGAGATCACCAGGAAAGTGAGATAAAAGTATTGGGGATGAGGGGAGCAGTAGGGAAAGAACTTTCAGCTTTGGGGTAGGGAGGGAAAAAGAGAAACTAGGAGACTTTGGGAATGTGTTTATTTGGAGCTCCTGCAGCTGGGGCTGACAAGGAGTCTCTTTAATAGGGGATAGTCAAGGATGACCTCCCTGAGAAGCAGGAATTTTAGCAGGAATTTAAAAAGAGGTAAAAAGTGATGTGGGTATTTGGAGGAAGAATACTCCAAGTAGAGGTCAAAAGTTCTGAAGTGTGCTAGTGTTTTTATCAAAGAGTTAGGAATACATGTAGCTGAAGCTGGGAGAGAGGGAGAAGAAGAGAGAACAGGCATATATTGAGGACAGAAAGGAAATGAAGGGCTAAATCATATAGTAGGCCATTGTGAGGGTGTTGGCATTCACTCAAAATGAGAAGGGAAAATCTCAGAGCATTTTGAGGAGTGACATAATCTGATGGGGATTTTGGATTAAGAGGGTAGAAGTAGATGTTAAGAGAAGTAGTCTACTTTTAATTATATTTTCAATCAATAATGAGTTACAATGAATTTGGGGGATGTAAGATGAGGTAATTGGAGAAGGCTCTCTGGAGGAAGAAAATGAAGTAGGACCTACTTACTGATTACCTTGTGTTGTTACATAACCATACAACCTTCCAGATGAAGGGGAACAAGTTTGGCCTTTAGCAAAAGTTCCTAATTGGTATTCTACCAGCTAAATCTCTCAATAGTTTTGTTTGACTGCAGCATTTAAAGCCTTTTCTATTCTTTTTTTTAAAACTTTGCAAAAGGTTTTTATTTTTGTTTCATCATCCATTCACTTTATATTTAAATTTGGATAGTATATAAAAAAATCATTTGTCTGGACTCAACACACTCAATTCCATGGTTTCTTGGCCTATGTCTGTTCTGAATCATCAAACTTTGTCTAACCAAGGGTCCTGAGACCGTGAAAAATAATCAAAGTTGAGAGTTTTTGGAAAACTAAAAGCAAATGAATTTGAAAAGAAAAAACAGTCAGGAAAAGTGTACGATTGACTTTCCTAGGGTCCATAGCTGAGAACCCAAGCTGTTCTTGAGAACATCTGGTCTATTTTGGGTGGCTCGGATCCCATAACCCCTTGGCTTCTTTAGTTGTTCAATCAAAGGCAGTTCTTACAAAAGCTGGCTGAAAAACCAATACCCAACCCCAGGGCATAAGGGTCTGTGTTAGAGGTTTCCAGCCAGTCTCAATCTCTGAGTTTTGACTTCCTTCTCTGCCCCCTATGCCCCTCAGGGCAAGGCAGAGTTTTCCCTCCCCAAACCCTGAGGCTGAAAATCTAATCTACACAGGGGAGTAGGGCTAGTGTTTAGCAGATGTGATCAGATATGTGCTAATGTGGACATCAGCAGTCAGCTCAAGAGAACCCCAGAAGTATCAAGTTAGGCCCAAACCCACAGAAGACCTGTATAGTGCCGTTATACAAACTGTGCTTTTTTGGGGGGCAAAACTTGAGACTGCCTCTTCTAACTCTCACACCCATTTCTGGTTCTACACATATCACAGGCCTGATGCAGAATGCCCTCACAAAGGGAAAATAACAGCTTTAATTCACAGACTTTGTTGGTACTGACCTCAAATTCTTCCTCTGCTGTGGTCTGGGGGTGGAGCTAGACAGTGGGACAATCATTTATGAAGGCCTTAGTCAAAGAGCAGCTAGTGTTTATCACATGGATGCCTGCAGAGCCAAATTCTCAACTTGTGGGCTTAACAATAGAACCCAAAAGATAAGACACAGAAAACATACTGGACAAGATTAATCTGGAATGTGCAATCTTAAAACAATTGTGGAAGAAACCTATTCTGAGCAATTTCTCAGTCTGTTGCTCCTGGCCACGAGCATTTCTTATGGATCAGTAAAGACTTACACAATTACTTGTCAGCACTTAAAAATTCACAATCTTTGACAAAAGCAGATTCTAGGTCTTTGTTGAGAACTGAAAAAAAACTGTATATATTGAGCCCTATTTCCAAAGGGCAAAGTTGACAAGGAGCTAAGTTTAAGTACTACCTGCCTCCTTTTGTCTGAGCATGATTTCTCCTGTTTTCTAGTCCCTTCCCCTTTCTACTTCTCCCCCCAAACTAAAGCTACCACTGAACTTGTGCAACTTCTTGTCTCTTTTGTAATTTTTCTTTCATATAGTACACTTTATTCATTGACATTAGCTGCATGGACCCTGCTGATTTTTGAGGTTGTAACATCAAGTGTTGAGAAAAGAAGCCTGGACCCAGAGTTGTGGTTCCTGTTCTGCCACAACCTATCATGTGACCTCGAGCACAGCAGATACCCTTTTTGTATATCGTTGGAGTTAGGAGACTGAATTAGTTGTTCTTTGAAAAATTCTATCATCCTAGAGGGCTTGGGATCTTGCCCTAGGTTAGTATTCTCTCCTTCCCTCCCGACCAATCAGGGCCCCAACCTAGTATGTATGTCAGAGGAAGATGACACTGAAAGAAGTGCCTGTATCAATAATGTATGACATAAGCCAAGAGCCAGGGAGAGGAATGTGCACTATGGGGTGTACGTGCGTGGGTGTAACTGAAAGTGCCTCTGTTAGGCTGTTCTTGTATAGGTTTGTATTTATCTGTTCCCGTGCATCTTCTCTGTACACAAACAGGCTCCATTCTAGTTGTTAGAGGTGATAACAATGGACAGGACAGATAAGGTGTCTGTTATCATGGAGCAATGAGAGACAGATAATATACAAATAAATAAAATACATGAGATAATTTAAAATAATGGGAAGTTCCAAAAAGAAAATAGAATGATTTGAATGGGTTTCTGCAGGGGCAAGCTGTGCACACAGGTGGCTACGTAAATGCAGTGCATGTGTTTGCAGATGGGCCCATGTTTGAGTCCTGGGTCCATATAAGTTATGCTTATTGGTGCCTATATGTGCAAATAGGCAGCTGGTATGCGTACAGTGTTTGTAAATTCATATATGTGCATCTTAGGGCACACAGGTGAGCTGGTATGTGGTTACACAAGTGGGGACATAGGTCAATGGTGTATATCAGCATTTAGCCTTAACTGGAGATGTTTTGAAGTTTCTGTGTCTCTCATGAGTGGACCAGTTAAGGAAATGGCTTTTCTGTCTCTATTTGCCAGCTTTTTCTCTTCTTGTTCCTTCCCACTTCAGCGAGCTCTCTGTGCTTGGCTCGTCTCAGCCCTAAGAAGGCTAAGCCAAGGAGAGGATAGTAACTGACGTATTGAGCCAGGAATTGGAAAGAGGTTGATAATCTTTTGCGTAACTTCGCTGCTAGTCCCTGCCCTTCACACTAGGAGGGGAAAGAGTCCTGACTTGAAATCAGAAGACCTGAGGATCTGTTCTTGGCTTTGCCACTCATTATTATGTGATCTTGGCCGAACTACATCATTCTGAGTTTCAGTTTCCTCCTTCACTAAGTATTCTGGGTACTTAGGAAGGCGAAGAAACACAATGACCTTTAGTAGTTAGGGAGGGTTACTCGGTGCTGATGACTGGAGGAGGAGGGAAGGCGTTCTTAGCTGGGACAATAGCATGATCAAAAGTTTGGAGGAGGGTCTGTGTGTAACGGAAGCAAGGAGCCCACTGAGAATAAAATTCAAACTTCTTACCATTTCCTACAAGGTCCTACTGTGTACCGCTGGCTGCTGTGTACCGCTCATTCTAGCCCTCCTTCTTGCTCAGTGTGCTCCAGTTCTTTAAATAGGTCACACTCTCTACTGCCCCAGTGCTTTCCAAATTTCAGTGTTCTCTCTGCCCAAGATACTCTGCCCAAGAATTCATACAGTTGCCTACTTCCCATTACTCAGCTCTTAGCTGTCCCCAGGGAGAGACCTCTGGTGTCTTATTTAAGTAGTTATTCTCTAGTATTTATCAATATTTAAAATATATGCATCCTTTGACCCAACAATTTCACATCTAGTAATTCATTCTACAGATATATTTGCAAGTGAATAAAATGACACGAACAGAGATATTCACTGAAGCATTTATTTATGAAATAAATCATGGCACAATAGAGGGGCAGTATAGAGATGACCAAGAAAATGAAACAGTACTCTAAGTCCTGATGGAGAATATTGGGGTATATTGTTAAATTTTTTAAAAAGCAAGATGATTGAGTTCTATATAAGTTCTATATTAAGGTTTGTGCAGCTTATTGAATGTTTATTATACTCAGTGCCTTATTTCTATATATGTGCACAGCACATAGTAGTTGTTGAATAAGTAAATAAACAAATGAAGGAATGACTGAAGGAAACTTGGTTGAAGTCTAAGGAAGGTGGGAGATAAGGCTGAAGAGGCAGGCAGAAATCAGCAGAAAAAGGATTGTGATTTTCAAACTTTAAGTGCACATCAGACTCACCTACTGATTCTTTATACCTACTGTAGTAAAGAACCATATTTTTGGACCCTGTGGTTCTGATTCACTAGGTCTGAGCTGGGCTCAGGTATCTACTTTTTAACAAATTCCTTAGGTGATTTGGGTGCAAGTGATCTGGAGATTCCACCAAAGCAATCTTGACATCGTACTCAGGAAGAATCACATTTGTGATATAATTTCTCCTTAATGTATCCCTGGTATGGAAGAAAAGGAGCCATCATCCCATTTTATCAACCTAAATGAGGTTCAGAGATGGACAGTACATTTTCCAGTAGCACACACTTGTGATTAAAGTATACTTTGATAGGCCAAAGTATCTAACCAGTCAGCTCAAGGTGTGGTAGCAGATGGCTCATCCTCACAGGACATTCCCAGGCTTTAGTGTTACTAAGTGGATTTTATGACTGTTCCTATGTTTTGTTTTTGATTGCTTCTTTCTAATGTATGACAGGGAAGGCAATGAACCAGAGGAGACTGCCAAGATCACATACCAGGAGCTTCTGGTCCAAGTCTGTCGGTTCAGCAATGTTCTCCGAAAACAGGGTGAGTGTGGGAGAACAGGAAGAGGACTAGGGGCTCCAGCCTTGGAGTATCTGAGAACGGGGTAAAGTAGACAAAGAATGAAGGGAATTTCTGGTAGCAGGGGAACAGAAAAATTCAGCTGGATGGGAGGTAGCTGAAAGGGAGGAAGCAAGTGGCAGCAGGAAGGGTCCATGATCCATGGTCTGTGCTCTTTACTTGCAGGAATTCGGAAGGGTGACCGAGTTGCCATCTACATGCCCATGATCCCAGAGCTTGTGGTGGCCATGCTGGCATGTGCCCGCCTTGGGGCTCTGCACTCCATCGTGGTAGGAATTTGGGTTGAATAAAGGGCACTGGGGTAGGGCTCCAGAGAAGTAGATTGGGCCTGGATGATGGAGGATCTTAAGACTCAGACTAAGGAGTTTAAAATGTTTGTGTCATAGATACATATCAGTTATCTAGTTGCTTCTTGATTTGTGGTTTAGAGACCCTAAAAGTCATGAGTGATGCCTTTCCTTGTTCACTCAATCCCTATGTGTTCTCTTTCTTAGTCTTTCTTCCCTTCCATAGTTTGCAGGCTTCTCTGCAGAGTCTCTGTGTGAACGGATCCTGGATTCCAGCTGCAGCCTTCTTATTACTACAGGTGACTAATTCTCTTACCCTTTTTCCAGAAACCCCACACCCCAAGACTTGGTCTCCAACCAATTAGTTGGTATTTAGGACTATTCAGCATAGAGAGTAGGGACGCCTACCCTTAATCTCTTAGTTCCACCTTAGCTGACTCTCTGTTAGCTCAAATCAGCTAGAAAAATCAGAATTAAGAGTCCCATTCAGGAAGGATTCGGAACATTTTGCTCACTAGGGAATCAAGGGACTAGGAGTATATTGCCTTTCTAAGGCCTAAAATGTCTGTTGTTCTCCAAAGATGCCTTCTACAGGGGTGAAAAGCTTGTGAACCTGAAGGATCTGGTTGATGAGGCCCTGGAGAAGTGTCAGGAAAAGTAAGTACGCTTGGCCAGTTGGTTTTTGCTCTGGGTTGACTGGGCCTTCCCCAGAGCCAGGTTCTCTTCGTTCCTCCTAAACCATATGGGTGAGTATGTCTTGCTACATTTTCTTTTGAGCTACTCAGTCCAACACTGCATGCTTTTCTTTCCTCCAGGGATTTCCCAGTGAGATGCTGCATTGTGGTTAAGCACCTTGGGCGTGCTGAGCTGGGCTCAGGTGACCCTCCCAGTCAGTCCCCCCCAGTTAAGAGGCCATGCCCAGACGTGCAGGTGAGTATATTACTGTTGTGCCCTTCTTTGGGTTTAAAATGGCTCTCTTCCTGCCCATGAAGTGCCTGAATCCTAGGAATTTCTCCTTTGGCAGGGCTGCTGGGCTGGGGGACTTTGACCTTGAATATAGGTAGGGAGTTCCTTGTACTTTGAGAATTTAGTATGAGAGATTGTGAGGGGGACTGTCATGCTGGTTAAGGTATCCTGAAGGGCACAAAGGACCCTCAGGACTTGGAGTTAGCTTGGAAATGGGCTGACTTGGGTGACTTTTTTGTAGTGACCTTGATGACTGGCCTGTGGCTTAGGTGGACTACTTGTGTGGTTCCTCTATGGAAGGACCAAGCTCTGGCCCTCAGTCCATGGCCACTGTTAACTCTGCACTCATTGTATCTGGTGGAAAAGCCCACTGGTGGCCTCTGGGTCTAAGGGGCATGAAGGATGAAGGCTCTAGGGTTGATGAGGACAGAGTGTTCCTAAGATTCTATGACTTGAGGGGCCCTGAGTGATCTTAGGGCTAAAGAGGTTGTAGCCTAGCCTAGGGAGAGTGGAAACGCTAGTCAGCATTTGGGATTTTGAGTGTACAGGGACTGGCAGGAACAGGATCAAGAAAATGGAGGTTGGGAGGACCAGTGAGAGGGGAACCTGAGGGAAAGGAAGCAACCAGAGGTTTGGAGCACTCTGACCTTTCCCTCCTACTTCCTTACTTGGACCATCCTCACCACCCTTTTCGTGGGCTCTTAACAGGGTAAGCCGAAAGAGAAATCCAGGTGCATCCGACCCCAGGTATTCACCTCTGCACTGCCTTGGGCGCTGCTTCCCTGCGTGCTTGTCTGTATGTCCTGCTCTCTGCCTGTTTCACCCATGGAGGTGGCTGCCAGAGCTAATCCCTTTCCCCTTCACATTCTAAGTCTCTGTGAAGGGTCATGAAACCAAATGCCTGCTGCTCTCTCTGAACGTTATAGAGCATGGCTCCCAGAGAGGCTGCAGCAGACATCCCGTTTCTCTCCTGAAGCTCAGGACCTTTGCAGAAGAGGCAACCAGGCCACCCGTCAGAAAGTTTTTACTCTACATTTAGCTGAGGCAGAGCCGGGAAAGATAGCAGGAAGGGAAGCGAGAGGTGGTACAGATCTTAACTTTGGGGATTCATCATCAAGTCGGGGAGTTGATGTGTATTACAAACGAAAACCTAGGCTTTATGTAGACAGGAGAGAAGTTTCCTAAATACATTTCTATACAACATTGGGATTTATAAACTGCACATAAACTCTGATGTAATTAAGTGCTACACTGAACAAAAGTCACATTGTAGGTGGTTCTGAGAATGGAGATTCCTAAGTGGGACTCAAAACAGATTAGCATAGAGGGGAGATAGGGCCTGGAGTCCAGAGATCATTTTTTAGTCGTATGATTTTGAATAAGTCACCTTTCGTCTCTGGGCTTCAGTTCTTTATCAGGAACGGAGAGGTGAAACATGTTTAAAAGGGACTGCTTCCTTTACTAAAATAATATATAAAGTCCACAACTCTGAGTTTTACCATCTTCCTAGAGGTATGCTATAATATAGTCTGCTATAAGTTACCTCTTAGGCTAATGGTAAATAAAATCTCCTTTTTCTTAGAGACAGATCTGATTTCCAGGGGACACTGCTTTCCTTTCAAAACTGAGGAAGGGACCTAAACCTTTTCTCATGAAAGTGATAACAGACTAGTTGGGTTCAAATCCTGTCTGTGTAACCAGCTACTGTGTGAGCTTGGGCAAGTTACTTCAACTGTCTTGCTTCCGTTTTCCCCATCTGTAAAATAAGGATAATAACTTATCTATCTGATAGGCTTTGTCAGTATATTTAAGGGGTTTGGCATGATAGGCTTTGTCAGTATATTTAAGGGGTTTGGCACATAGTAACTACTCCATAAATATTAGCTTTTATTGCTTTTAACAGCAAATGGGCTGGCATTTCTATAGGGAGAAAAGAAGAGAAATAAACTATTATAATTTTTTTTTAAAGATACACATTCAGCTACAGGTTACAAGAGATTTGTGAACTCAGCCAAGTACAGTGGTAGCAAGGCCTCGCTGCTACAAAGATGTGTTTTAGACAATACTCAAGTTGTATGGGCATCATGATCAGACTACTACATTTAGCGAAGAACAGCATGGGTATAAAAATAATATCCACATTAAAACTCTTTGTTGGAATGCTTTACTTTCCACAGGAGAAAGTAAAATAACCTGTTATACAATTAGTCACACATACAGTCCTTGAGTTTTTGGCCTATACACTTGAGTATTGTCTAAAACACATCTTCTTTGTAGCAGCGAGGCCTTGCCACCACTGTACTTGGCTGAGTTCACAAATCTCTTATAACCTGTAGCTTCCCTGTCACTTCTTCAGCTCTCCTCCCCTGCTAAGCTTTGTTTCCTGGCAGTTAATTAAAACCTGCCACTCTCAGGGCCACGGCTGCTGTTGGAACCACCACAGCCACCTGGGTTTTGTAGTTTGGCAAAGTGTTGTTCTCTACCACCATAGGGGCCAGAGCTTCTGCCTCCAAGGTTTATTCCTTTCACGATTCCAAAATTTGAAGATTGATTGTTGTAATTGCCAAAATCATTGTAGCTTCCACCATCACCAGAATTGTTTCCATCATTACCAAATCCATTATTACCATCCCCACTGCCACCATATCACCACCATCACGGCTGCCACCAAAGCCAACTCTACCTCCACAACCAAAGTTGTTATTCCCACCAAAATCACCCCCTCACAGTTTCCAGAACCACTTTGACCTCTTTGGATGGATGAAGCACTGGCCATAGGGCTTTCCTTACCTCATAGTTGTGACCGTTCACAGTATGTTATTTCCAAATGACAGTCCTGTCTACTGAATCATGATCATCAAAGGTCACAAAAGCAAAGCCTCTCTTCTTGCCCTTGCCTCAAGCAATCATGATTTCAGTCACTTTAGTTTTCCCACACAGCTCAAAGTAACCTCTCAGGTGATGTTCTTTGGTGTCTTCTTCTTTTATTTATTTATTTATTTATTTATTTATACAAGAACCGGGGTACAGGTCAGATTTGCGGGAGGGTGAGAGGATTCACCAGAGACAAAGCGGGGAACAGGACAGGCAGACTGACGAAATACACTACTGAGAGGAGCAGTAGGCGAGACAGGCAAGGTCTGCCGCCCCGCCATGTAGGACCCTCGCCCAGCAGGCTGGATCGAACTGGCGCTGCAGAGGCTGCAGACAGCTTCACAGCACTGCGCTCAACCACCTGTGCCACCAGGGGAGGCCCCGGTGTCTTCTTTAATGCCACCACCAACAATCTTTTTCACAATTAAGCAGGCACCAGGTCTTTGAGAATCTTCTCTTGACACAGCTGTCTTTGGTTCCATAACTCTTCCATCCACCTTATGTGGCCTTGCATTCATGGCTGCATCCAACTCCTCCACTGTGGCATAAGTGACAAACCCAAAGCCTCTGACTGCTGGGTGTTTGGGTCTCTCCTGACCACAGTCTGTGAGTGTTCCCATTGCTCAAAATGACCTCTCAGACTCTTTTGTCAGTTGTTTCCAAGCTTAAACCTCCAATGAGGCACTTCTACAGCTGTTCCTGCTCCTTGGGAGACTCTGACTCAGATATGATGGCAGAGGAAGAGGAGACTTTTATGATGCTTACTCAGTGGCACCCACAGGCAGAAAGAAACTATTGTAATTCTTAATACCTGTGGCCCTCAGGTTACAGACACCTGTTTTTTGTTTGTTGGAGATGAAAGCAATTTGTTATCAAAAAACCAAACAGCAGAAAAATGACTTACAAAGTCCGGGTTTGTTGTTTTGAAAATGGCAGTCAGAGTAACAGAAATTGGCAGGGTTCCAAACCCCCTCATCCTTAAGCAATCTTCAAAGGAAGGCCTGGCAGTTTGCCGGTGCCCTTCTCAACCATATCACCTAGGAACTTCCTCACGTTCCTCTCAAAATTGGCAGCCTCCCTTCCTGAGCCTATCCTGGCCTGAGATCAAAGGCCAACTCCTGCATTTTTATTTCAGAAAATTCAAACCTTTTCCTGGTTCAGAGCTCTGGGTCCTCATAGGCACACACCTAATACGCAACTGATGTTTGCACCTCTAAATGAGCTCACCCTATTTCCTGGTGCTGGTTACAAGCTCCACACCTATAGTCTTCCGTCCCCCAACCTCCTTCTTTCCATGCACCCACAAAGGAAATGGTTTTACAAGATTAGAGCCCCCTCATTGCAGGGCCATAGTGTAATTCTGCCTTCACCTTTATATGTACCTAGTGTCTTTTCTATGACACTTCACGCCGGTAGAGTAGACCAGCAACATTTGCCCAAAGCAATATTGACACAGTTCTGTTTAAATACATTAGTGCCCCTATCTTAAGACACTCATCAGCAAGAAAAAAAAAAAAATCCATGTGATGCTGTATTTGTAGACCTATATATGGCTATACACTATCTTGTAGGTACCTTCTCTCTCATTTCTTTTTCTCCTTTTTATTTTTAATGGCACCACCCTAGGCCTGGGCTTGTCATTCTTATGATGCTTATATGCCAGAAACTTCAAATTCTCCAGAGTAAGGAACAGATTGTATAGAAAGAACAGAGTGGCTAGAGGTCATTTTATAATTTATCAGTGTACGTGTCTAATATTTGGGGATTTTATAACCAGATATATAGTTGTATAATGACAGCAGGGTGTTTCTCTTACACTAGCATGCCTAGCCAGGGTAACTGAACACAAAAATGAAAATGAAAGGGCTTTGTCAGCTAAAGCAAAGCCCAAACAGTTTCCATTGTTATACCCTTAATCTCCCAGACATTCATCAGTCTTCCTCACAGCCCCCTCCAAATGACAATCCAAGACTTGTTGTTTTAGAAGGTAATACTTTCTCCAAGCCCTGGAGACCATTACTGCAAGAATGATTATTATCCTTATTTTAAAAAGGGGTGACTCGAGGTAAAACGACTCGCTCAAGGTCATTTGTAGCTAGGAAGAAGCAGAACTGGGATTAAAATCCAGTGTAATTTTTGGCCAAGTGCAGGGAATCACTTCACTCAGCAAAAAAATAGACTCAGAAAACTGATATTTAAATAGGTGATATAACCAGTTTTGAAAAATTTCAGGATGAAAGATCCAGAATTGCTGCTTGAAGGTACTTGAATAGAGAGGAAATCCTCTGTTGGGAGAATTTGCTCACCTCGGTCCTTCTCCATCACTTTAAAGCAAAGTTTCCTGATGAGTGGGACCTCAAACAAATATCTTTGGGAAATGTCTGTAATACCAGTGGTAGGAAGGCACGTAAGTTAGGATAGGAAAGGTCTGGGCATGCAAGAAAATGTGCTTGGATCAATAGCTGTTGACTTCTTTTGCTACTAACTAATAGGGTCAGGTGCTTTCCTCAGCTACAGGCTCTGACTAATTTTGCATTTCTGAATTGTGTGGTGTTCGTATCTCTGCTGAGAAGCTACTAGTCCCATAAGTACATATCTGTGTGTGCAGGCCAGTGTGTGCATATTTATCCAAAGAAAACTTACCGAGTGCCTTTTGAGTGCTAGGTATTTTGATAGGTGTTGGGGATAGAGGGGGCAAAAAAGACAGACATACCACTGCCCTCATAATAGTGTCCACTAGCTACTTGGGGAGACGTTAAACAAATCACTAAATAAAATCGCTGGAAATATGTGCTGTGTGGGAAAAAAATATGGTGCTGTGATTACAAATAATAGCAGGGGTGGGAGTGGGTATGGGGGTGGGAATCTACCAAATACTGTTCAGGGAAGGCCTTTCTAGGAAGGTGACATTTAAGATAAGAATTGAAGTATGAATAGGGGCCAATCTGATCAGATCACTGTAAGTTCAAATATTGAATCATTTTGCACACCTGAAACTATGTGTAACAATATAACATTATTTCTCAACTAAGAAAAAAAGAAGGGTCCAACCAAGGGACCTTCCTCAGCTTGAGACAAGCTGAGGTGTGGGAGCTCTGGAGTTGAGCTGGGGAAGGATGGCAGAGTGCGGGGAGAACCCAGGGAGCCTGCTGTTTTGTTTGTTTGCTCTGCCCATTTCATTCCTGTAGGACCCTCCTCCCTCCCAGCCTCCCCGGTGCCAGGTAGGGGTATCTCTTGCCTCCATCTTGAACTGTTTCCAGTGTTTCCTCACCCATTGCTATTTTCTGCCCCTGGCAGATCTCCTGGAACAAGGGGGTAGACCTGTGGTGGCATGAACTCATGAAAGAGGCAGAGGATGAGTGTGAGCCTGAATGGTGTGATGCTGAGGACCCACTCTTCATCCTGTACACCAGTGGCTCCACAGGGAAACCCAAGGCAAGTTGTGTGTGTATGTTTGCGCGTGCACTCGTGTGCTATAAATGGATGGGAAGTGGTTTCTGAGGAAACATTTAATAACATGAATTTTAATCCACAAACCTGAGTTTTGGAAATGTCATATTACCTTTTTGTAAATCATATGAATACATAGATCTTCAACCACTCGGTGGTGAGGAACAGAGCGAGACAATTCAGATAGGGACTTTCATGGTGCCCCCCAAAAGAAAAGAATCAGTCCTGTGGCTGACATTGATGTTCCTTGCCAGTGCTCACATGGTTTGGTCTAAGGGCTGCCCTATCAATTCAAGGCCTAGGGTAGGCACCAAGGTCCCTTTTAGGCTCCTCAATTTACATGCTACACTGTTAACATTTAGAAGCTCCCAGGACTGTGTGGGAGCCAGGATACTTAAGAAAACTCTTTGATTGACTTGAAAGATATGTCACTACCTTCCACTCTGCCTGCCCCTAAATTCTCCTCTTCACATGCTTTTGAATATCCCTCGCTTGTCTTTTAGAAACAGTTTTGGCCTCTCTTTTCCTAGGCATGGGGCATTGAGGGAGTCAGCAAAGAAGATTGTCTTTTTTCCTCCACAGTCACTCTATCAACATGTAATCGTGTGTGCATAAATACACAACTGTTAGATGTGAGCGTACTAGAAGTGCTCACATGTGTGAGGGCAATATGGGTGACTCAGAAATACCATCTTAGGGTGTGGGTATGAGTGAGCGGCTGACTAACATGCATGTGGGATGTGAGATGGGGACATGGGGAAAAGGGGATGAAACAGAGATGGATGCTATGAAAAGGGTGCCGGCAGGATCAGACTCCCTGAAGAGCATCTTCCTCCAGCTCTGCTCAGCACAAGACCCCAGCTTAGGGCCCATTCCTCTTCTAGGGTGTGGTACACACGGTTGGGGGCTACATGCTCTATGTGGCCACAACCTTCAAGTACGTGTTTGATTTCCACGCGGAGGATGTGTTCTGGTGCACAGCAGACATTGGATGGATCACTGGGCATTCCTACGTCACCTATGGACCAATGGCCAATGGTGCTACAAGTGTTTTGGTGAGAAGGGGGCTGGAACCCATGGGCACCTGGCCTACCTGGGGGAGGGACAAGATGATGCTGGGTGATCACCTCTTAAGGTAGTCACTTGGTCTAGAAGCAGGGGGACTTACACAATGATCTGCTTCCTGGAGAAAGAGTTCTAAGGGGGCTGTATATCCTGACTGGGAAGGCTCCTTGACTTTTCTGATAAAGGAGTAAAGAGATTGGTTGGCCAGAGAGGGCAAAATACTGGCCCTGAGGGCATGGTAGGGGGGTAGAGGGACTATTTGGAAGGCCCAGGAATGACTGCTTGCACTGGGATCAGTTTGAAGGGATCCCCACATACCCAGACGTGAGTCGCCTGTGGAGCATCGTGGACAAGTACAAGGTGACCAAGTTCTACACAGCACCCACGGCTATCCGCATGCTCATGAAGTTTGGAGACGAGCCTGTCACCAAGTAAGACCCTTCCCTAGCTGCTGCCCTACGGGTGTCCCTCTGAGCTGGGTGCTGCCTTTGTGAACAGTCTTTTCCATTCCATTGTTCTACCTCTCTGGCCTGGGACAGGGGAGGGGATAGAAGAGCTTGGGCATGTCTTTCTGATTCCCAGCAGTGCTCAGTCTTCTTCCCCCTCCACTTCCCTGCCCAAGGCACAGCCGGGCATCCTTACAGGTGCTAGGCACAGTAGGTGAACCCATCAACCCCGAGGCCTGGCTGTGGTACCACCGGGTAGTAGGTGCCCAGCGCTGCCCCATCGTGGACACCTTCTGGCAGACAGAAACAGTAAGTCAGGGGTCAGAAGGTTGGGGCCCAGGGACAATTTGGGAAGACTGACTCTAATCCCTGATCTCTGATTTCCACAGGGTGGCCATATGCTAACTCCCCTCCCTGGTGCCACACCCATGAAGCCTGGTTCTGCTGTGAGTGAGACTCCCTTGGCTGGTCCTGGGCTGGGTCAGAGTAAGGTCTCAGGGAATTTTCCCTAACTAATGGGTGAGAGACTGGATTGATGTGAGGAATTTGGGGCTCCAGGGTATCCAGGTAGAGGTAGAGTTGAGTCAGAATTGTCTCACTCCTCTCCTTGCCTCTCTTGTTTGCTTCTAGACCTTCCCATTTTTTGGTGTAGCTCCTGCAATCCTGAATGAATCTGGGGAAGAGTTGGAAGGTGAAGCTGAAGGTTATCTGGTAAGGCCCTGATCTTTAGGGTCTTTGAGGAGGGGAAGCAAAGGGGCCACTAAGGAGTACTTATTTTGCTTCAGAGCTTAGAACCTGGTCTCTCCTGGTAGCTCCTTGTGGCTAAAGCTTCATGGTTGAAGGTTTAGCCTCTGCTGAGAAACCTTGGGGGGAGTCCTTCTGGATATGTTGCCTACATCTCTGTCTTTTGGCCTATGAAGATCCTAAGAGCCCTTTAGAATCTGCTCAAATATTATTCTTTTTTTTTTTTTTTTTAGATTTATTTATTTATTTATACAAGCACTGGGTACAGTCAGAGGTGCAGGAGGGTAAGAGAATTCACCAGAGCCAGAGCGGAGAGTAGAACAGGCAGAGTGACGAAGTGCACTGCTGGGGGGAGCAGTGGACGGCAGGAGAGGTGCCATGTGGGACCCTCACCTGGTGGCCAGGGATCGAACCGGCGCTGCAGAGGCTGCGGGCAGCTTCGCAGCCCAGCCCTCAACCATTGCGCCACCAGGGGAGGCCCCTGCTCAAATATTCTTGATGGTACTTTTTTTGGGTCTAGAGACTTTGTCCCAGCTCCTCCTTTGACAAACATTCTAGTGTGAAAGGAGGCTTCATAACATAATAGAAACTCATATAGACTATAAGTTACCTAAACCCTTTGAACCTAAACAGGGTTATATTAGTATCTTTATCTTCTGTGGTTATTGGGTTGATTAAATAATACATGTGAAGGGTTTGGCACAGAACTTAACAGTGTGTGATAAATGTCAGCTATTGTAGTGATTATTGTATTGGGTATTGCAGGGAGACCATCAGCCCTACTCTCTCTACCCATCTTCAGTTTTACTAACAAGTTGGTCACAGGGCAGAACTTGAGTCTAGCCCTTTTGACTCTTAGCCTAGAATTCTGCCAATTCCATTATTCTGCTGCCACAGGATGTTATTAATTGGTGTGATAATTATTTCATCATGTGTGGGTCCCACTTTTTTATATGACTGTTTTCATTTGTATCAAACTGGACCTGCTTTCTTGAGGGATTACCAAAAAGGAGACTCAAATTTACTAAGTGATTATCACTGACAGAACACCGTGCTAGGCTATTTCCAGATACTACTAATATAATCCTCTACAATAACTTTCAGAGATAGAAGATTTTTTTTTTTTAATAGTTGAGGATTCTAAAGCTCAGAGAGGTAAAGTTCTCTACCCAAGACCACACAACTAGTAAATAGCAGAGTTGGGATTCCAAGCCCGAAATGTCTTACTTCCGAATTGCACTTTTCTCAAGAATGGCATTCACACCATTTCTCCTCAGAGGAAAAAGCTGTGACTATATTTAAGCCAGAGTGCATAGCAGATAACACCATTGTGCCTTCCTCTCTGTTTAGGTATTCAAGCAACCCTGGCCAGGGATCATGCGCACAGTCTACAGAAACCATGAACGCTTTGAGGCCACTTACTTTAAGAAGTTCCCTGGGTACTACGTGACAGGAGATGGTGAGCCTTGTCTAGCCTATCCCATATCTACCTCCAAGACTGTAGCTTCCCCTTTCATTTTCAGGAAGAGATGGTTAAGGAAGAAGAAAAACAAAAAAAAAAGTGTGCTCTATATGTCAATGTCTAGTGTCTAGAGAGAAGTACAGAGAAAGTCTATATATAAGAGCAGCAATGAGTATTGCAGGAAGGGTCTTAGCATGGTGCCATCAGGCATATCTGATGTATGAAATGAAACAAATATTTCCCACTGTTCCTGTGCTAAAAAGACATGTGGCATGTGGCACTGTGTATTACTAGGTCATGTATGCCCCTCATGTTTGGAGCCTGTCCATCACCCAATTCATTCATCCATAAATATTTGTTGAGCACCTACTATATCTATGTACTGATCTAAGCATAGGGGATATTTCCATGTATAAAATAAGCAAAGTTTTGCTAACTGTTGTACAGGATAATGAATACCAGAAGGTGGACATCAGTGTGGCCACCTTGGAGCCTGGTTACCCTGAGGGCAAGAGTAGATTTGCTAGGAGGCTCAGTGGGCATGACAGTTGGTAGCGTGGGTCACGATCCTGCCTTATGTTGTGCATGTCTTCTCTTCCCAGGCTGCCGGCGGGACCAGGATGGCTATTACTGGATCACTGGCAGGATTGATGACATGCTGAATGTATCTGGTGAGGACCAAAGGTCACTTTCCCTTCACATTAGCCCCACTCTCCTAGCAACTCCCAACCAAAGCCTTCCAAGAGATCAAGACTGCCTTTGTTTAGACCGTGCTTGTGGTGCGGCCTTCAGTTGTGGGCTCAGGTTTAATAACACTAGAATGTGCCTAGCAGAGCGGAACTGGGATGGTGAGACCACCGGAAGCATGTCACATGAGGAAAAGAATGACCTGCCCATTTGACCAGGGACCGTGTGGCCACAGATGGAGCAGGGGCTGGGATAGAGGCTGAGAGCTCTCTCATGGCACTTCCTTTCCCTGTTAGGGCACCTGTTGAGCACGGCCGAGGTGGAGTCGGCACTAGTGGAACATGATGCTGTTGCTGAAGCAGCCGTGGTCGGCCACCCACATCCTGTAAAGGGAGAATGTCTCTACTGCTTTGTCACCCTCTGCGATGGCCACGTCTTCAACACCACCCTCACCGAGGAGCTAAGGAAACAGAGTGAGGAGCTGCCCTAGGCAGGGACTGCAGGGTCTGTCCTGATAGCCCAGCTACCACAGTAGTTTGTTAGGGAGGAGCTAGAGCAAGCTTCTCCCCAAAGCACAAACATTCTAGGGGGCTTTAGGGGATCCACTGCCCTCTTCCCACTCAGTCTCCACTAATCGCACCTCTAGGATAATAATAGCTGACATTTATAGAATTCTTTCTCTGTGACACCAGTGAGCTAAATGCTTTAAATGAATTAATCCATTTAATCCCTATAATCACCCCCAAGAAAGAGATCCTATTGTTACCCTCATTCTAAAATGAAAAAACTAAGGCTTATAGAAGTGAAAGCACCTGTCAAAGCTACACTGGTAGTAAAGTAGGATTTCAATTCTAGCAGGTTATTTCTAGAGCTTGAGTTTCCTAAAGAGAGATTAAGGTAAAATGAGATTGCAAAGGGATGGAGAGGCAGTAAGTCTAAGAATGACTGTGGGCAAGACCTTGAACTGGAAATAGGTTGGAAATAAAAGCACCTCTACCTTGGTTTTAGGGAATCTGGCTAAGAGCACTGAAGAAATGTTTAATGATTTCTCTCTTACAGTTAGAGAAAAGATTGGCCCCATTGCCACACCAGATTACATCCAGAATGCACCTGGCTTGCCTAAAACACGCTCAGGTATGTTCAGAGGTCTCAAGGGGTTGGAACTGGGATTGTCTGAGGGCCAGTGGTGGTGGAGTGGGTATGAATGGATGCCTTGGGCACCCTGGAGTGGGCCAGTGCTGTCAATCGGTAACCAGAGGCCTATGGTTTCTCAGGGAAAATCATGAGGAGGGTGCTTCGGAAGATCGCACAGAATGACCACAACCTGGGGGACACATCTACTGTGGCTGACCCATCCGTCATCAGCCAGCTTTTCAGCCACCGTTGCCTGACCAGCCAGTGAACAAGACCCTGCCCTTTACCCAGGATTTCTCCTGCTTGGCTCCAAATTTAGCCCATTCTCCTTGCCCCATCCCAGAGCACTGAGGGCCAGTGCTGACCCATATCATCTCCCTGGACCAGATGACTAAGACCGAGGACCAGCTTTGCCCCTGGGTGGAAGCAACTTCCTGTGCCAGGCAGATGGGATAGGGCCCAAGTCAGCCTTAGGTTGCTGTGCCCCCAGGCTGCAAGGAGCCCTTGGAGCTCAGAACAGGGACCTGAAGGTCACATCCCCAACCTCAGATGAAGGTTCAGAGGGCAAGTGAGAGCTGAGCTGAAGTCAGAAAGTAGTCCTAATCCTACATCAGCTTTCTCAGGAAGCACTAGTACTTATCTTGGGCATGCACTTGCCCTTAGAAATGCCTGTTTATGAGTCCTGGAATAACTATTTTTTTTTAACACTTTGCTGCTTTTGTTCTGGGTCTGAATTCTCCTTTGTGCCAGATGGCAGTGCTGTCTGCCCATGTGCTCTAGGGGCTGTGCGGGCAGGCTCAGTCTCCAGAGGGTTTTCAGATCATCTGCTTCTTTGCAGTAGATGTGATTTGTTGCTAAGGCCAGAGGAGCTTATTTTCCTTGTCCTCCACACCCACCCTCCCCTTAATGGAGCCCTGCCCATGAGACACTCTCAGATGATACTCTTTGCTTGTCCTGGTCATGTTCAGAGCCTGTGTTGTAGGAATAAAGTCTGTGACCCCAAAAAGGTGGTGACTTATTTTCTCAGGTAGCTTACTGGTTATATACTTGCTAGCTGCTTTGATCTGTGTGTGAGGTGGGAAGGGGAGTGGTTTACCTCAGAAATACCCCAATATCCTACTTGCAAAACTTTTGTTTTAGGGAAAGCTGGGCAGGGCTTTACTAGGGGCCCTTTGACAAGCCCTGGAGCAGTGCAGGGAAGCAGTGAAGCCAGCTCACAACTGTGATGTCCCGTTATGTTGGTTTCTCTTTGGGCTCTTGCTATGGACTCTCTGTCCTCCCTATGATCCTGTGAGACCATTTGTGGGTACCTAGGGTCCTACCCACATGGTCTGGGGCTAGGGGGACCCTGATTACAGTCCAGACAGCTCTCTGCTTCACAATACAACGTAAGTAGGCTGACTTATAGTTCCTCCTTCCCTAAGTCATAAACCAAGGACTCACAGCATCAGCAATGTAGTTTTATTTAAGGCAGAGGTGGGGGAAGGCTATGTCCCTCCTCTGACCTTAGTCCTATCCTAAGTCAGACATGGGAAACTGCTTAAAAGGCGAGAGGAGGGTGTCAGGGTAATGAACCCTAATCTCAGAGCAGCTTTCTTTTACTGTACTCATACCCTGATGATTTAGGGGCCTTTCTCACCGAAGGGAAACAGCTTTTCTGGTCATCAGATGGGAGAGCTGGGAGAAAGCATCCAGTGTTTACAGGTCCTAAAAGAGATCAGCCCCCCCAATGGTGGAAGGGCTAGGAGAAGAATAGATGGTCTCTTGAGTGAAGTCTGGGCCAGCCTGACTGTGCCCTCACATGGGGTACGGGTTGTCCAGCACTGCCACTCCGGCTGCCACGCCTCCATCAGCATGCTCAATGGCTTTAGTACGAAGCAGATGCCCCACATGTTTGTTCATCACATGTGTCTTTCCCTGCCTATAAAAATGGGAGGAGACACACAGTCTATCAAATGGCTTCAGCCCTCAAACCCCAGCTGAGCAGTACATGGGTAACTTACTACACCTGAGAAAGTAGTAGGATTTTAAAGTCAGATTTGGATTCTAGACCTAGAAATTACTAGGTCTGTATCTTTAAGCAAGTTACTGAGCCTTTCTAAATATCAGTTTCCTCAGTTTAAAATAGGTATAATCCCTTTCACTTTGCAAGATGACCATAAGGATTAAACAAAGCAGGAAAAGCTCTTAGCATGATGCCAGGCTCACATTTCATGTTTTGTAGCTGTAAATTTCCATCTCTACCTCTCTCTCAAGAGGGTTGTGGTGGGAAGTTGGCGGGGAGAGGGAGATAGGTGGATATGCTGAATGGTTAGAGGAGAAGACTGTAGAGAGAGCAGGCTCTGATGGGGAGCAGCGTAGAACATGGTATCTCTTCCTTGCCCTGACCTTGGAATGAGTATTTACGGGAAGTGATATGATGGACCAGGAGCCATTCCTTACAAATTCCCAGCTCTTTCTCTCTTTTTTCTTGATTCTTTAGTGCTCAAATCCAAACCAGAGGGCACTCGGTTTTTCAAGGCCATGAGTATCTTCTAGCTGGCCATCACACCTTTCCCCAGGATCCCCTACAGTCTGAGAGCTGGACATTTCTTCCTCCCTGTGGTCACCTGACCCAAGGTTGTCAGACCTTATTTTCACGTCCACATTGATACTATTTGGAATTTCCTTTATAGCTGGCAAAACACTTCTCATCTGGCCTTCATTTCATTGCCCTGAGAGGTAGGCAGGTCTGGGCCCTGGGTCTCATTTCCTAGCTAAGGAAGCAGATAGCACAGCGAGGGCCTGGGAGAGCTGAGACTGATTCCTGTCCCCACCCAGTTTCGCTTAGGCTGGCTTGCTTGGCTCTCTGACAGGAGAAGCCCCTCCTGGCTGGCTTACCTGACGTAGACCCCGAAGATACCCAGTTCTGAGATGCACTGGACCACCCGAGCAGGGCTGCCAGGCCGTAGCAGGCAGTTCCTAAAAGGCTCAGGTTCGATCTTCTCCATGAGGATGTAGGAGGCCCTCTCCTCGTCGTCCTTCAGCCGCTCCAGGGCCTGCACCATCTCTTCCCCATACAGATTGTTACCTGCAATTCCACTGACCAGTCACCTTGGGACCCCTGGCCCACCCACTCTACTTTGTGCCCCCACTTCAGCAGCCTCTGTTCTTGATGCCAGGACACAGCTGGCTCCCGGGGAGGGAACATCACCTCAACAGGAAAGCCCTTATTCACAAGTGAACACCCCCATCCACACCATCCTGCCCTGGTTTTCCACTTATCTGCCTATGGCTGTTCCTTCTCAGTCTCCCTGATGGGCTCCTGCCCCTCTCAAGTGTGGCATCCCCCAGGAATTGGGCCTCCGTCTTGCTGGCTCCTCCATATACACACTTTTTCCCCAGGGAGATCTCTTCTAAGGCTCCATCTATATCCTATAAATCGTTAACTCCTAAATCTTTAGCTCAAGCTCCTTGGTCTAGACATCACATGAATATCCCATGCACCCCTAAAATATGTCCAAGCAGAATATGTCAACATGTCCAAGCAGAACATCTCCTCCTGGATCTTCCTACTCACAAATCAGGCGAAAGGCATTCCTGAGTCTTAACTCCTCCTCGGTTATCTGTTACCAATTCCACGTTGTGATAGTCCCAGTCTGGGCTTCTCCATTGCTCTTCTGGAAAATGTACCAGCCTCCTCTATGGCCTCTCTGCTACCCATGTCTCCTCTAATTTTGGGACATGCTCTACCATGATGGAAACATGGATCCTGGATCAATCATGTGTCCTTTCCCTCCCTAAAACTCACAAATGGCTTCCTACCACCTTAGGCTAAGATCATATTTCCTACATACAGGCAACAATGCCCTTCATAGTCAGGTCCCAAACCATCTCTTCCAGCCCAAATCCTTGCCATTTCCCATTCCCCACACTGCATTCCAGCCTCACCAGTTACTCGTTAACCCCAGACACACCATCCTTTCATGGACTCGTATTTTTGCTTGAGGTTGTTCCTTCTGTAAGAATGTTCTTCCCTCTTTTCTCACCTTTTTCACTCCTATCTATCCCTTAAGTGAAAATAAAAAATCATGTCCTCTGGTCTGTGAGGTAGATATGCTCCCTGCCCTCAAGGAGTTCAAACTAGGCAGGAAGACATTCAGACTCCGGATATACTGGCACCCCAGACATCTCAGAATAAATCCATCCAACTCTCCAGTGCTGTTTAGTGAAAACCCCCTGCATGCCACAGTACTTGGTCACAGGGTCTCCTGGGACCCTGTCCAGGGCCAGGGCCTATGTCAGTTCCGCTTGTATCTCCCACAGCCCAGCATGGCGTCCATAGTGAGTGTTGCTTAGCACTGGTGATAGCCTGCTAGTCCCACTTCTAAAGCAGCCCTGCAAAGGGGCAACCACCTACCTCCGCCCTCTCTCTGGGGCTTTAGCACAAAGCGGCTAGGGGCGGCAAGGGCCTCCGTGATGGCTCGGTCGCCTTCTTCACCCTGAAAGAGGCAAGAAAGCAGGTATCAGGAGTCTTAGGCCAAAGAGGCAAGAGCTGAGGTCCTGTTTGTGCAAAGCAGCATCACAGGAAGAGCAGGAGAGGGAACAGCCATAAACCCTAACAAACCCACAAGCACAATGAGATCAAGCTTTCTCTGGCCAAGTGCAGGCATCTGCATCAGGTAGCCTGGAAAGCAGATAGAGACATTCCCAATTTTTACTATCTGCCTCAACCCCTTCCCCTGGTTACATCCCCATCTCCATCTTTGCTGAGAAAGTTTACAATGGATTCCAGCCCCCACCCCACCCAGCCAGGTTCTTGGGATTCTAAAAGACCCAGTGCCGCTCCAGCCTCTCCAACACATTGGGTTCCAGGTCCCTGCTACCGAGGCCCGTAATAGAAGAAAAGGGCTACCCACGTACCATGTCCAGTGAGTAAAGGCCAGCAAAGGTGGCACGAAGGCGGGCCACAGCCTCGGGCTGGTCAGGGAGCAATGCCTCCAGCATGCCCCTCCTGCTCAGCTCCTGCTGCACCTTCTTGGTCCCAGCTAGCTGGGTGGCAATGTCCGGGCACTTAATAGCACGTGACCTTTCAAGCATTAGGCGTGCTTGCCAGTTCTGCAGCATGGAGAAAACAAAAGGAATTCTGCTTTACTTCATTTTGGCTGACTATAAGTCTTCGCTCAAAGTTTCCTTCTCTGAGCACCATCAGGTGCCTCATATTATACTTTTTAGCCTCACATGATTATCTCCCAGGCTCGCTGCAACAGCTTTGTGAGGCAGGTGTGGCCCCTTTCAATCTGCAAGACTTCGCCATCAGGGAGTTCACCATCTAGTACCATGCATAACTATCATCATGACAAAATATATAAGGGTGTAGGAAAATGGATGAGGAAGCTTGAAGAGGGTGGGGCATACATTCCCACCGATCTGGCTCTGGCTCCTTCTAACCTCATTCCATGCTATCCTCTCCCTCACTCCCACATTCCAGCCATCCAAGCCTGTCAGTCCTCAAAACACAAACATCATTCCCACCTCAGTACTTTGCACTTGCTGCTTTTCCCTCTGCCTAGAGTTCTTTCCCTTTTGGCTTTTCCAGTGAACGGTTAGATGCTTCTCATTCTTGTTTCTGCTCCAAGTCACCTTCTCAAAGAAACCTTCTCTGACCACTCTATTCAGCGTAGGTTTTCTCATACTTCCTCCTTTTTATTATTATTATTTTTTTTTTACTGGCACAGCCTTCTGTTTATTCATATTACTAAAATTGTAGTAGTAGAAATGAAAGCTACTTTAATGAAACTCAGGAGTGAGGTCATTAAATAGAACTAAATGCATCTTAAATATAAATATAGTGTATTTCCTGACTAGTATAAAGTAAGTACCTAATCCATCCGGAATTCTGATCTCAGAGAAAAAGGCCAGAGGCAATCACCAAGTAGGTGCTTCATGTTACTGGGTCCATTTTTACAACAGTGAGATCCTTTGAGAACCTTCCTTTGGTCTTTCTTTTATCAGAGATTTCTGCTGGTCCTTTTGTTGGTAATCCATTTATGTCTGCATTCTTACAGTTTCTTGAACCTTTGTTTTCATCATTGGATTCTTCTAAAAATTTTTTGGGGCCACATACAACCAAAACATGGGGGCATCAGAGGGTAAGTGTACAGCTCCAGGTGTAGACCCAGAGCAGAACTGGGCTGATGTGCAAGGACTGTGCACCATTGTCCCAGGCTTGAGCTCTTCAACCTGACCACCAAGTCCAAATGGAAATGTGCGCCCTTCCAGAAGGCGGGGTGTGCAGCTTAATACCCAATTTTTCCACACTGTTGTTTCAAAGAATTTTCCCCAACTAGTAAAAAAATTTCTATTTTTATTTCCTTTTGGATATTCAAATCCCTGAACAGACTGTGAACTATGAAAGGACCAGACCCTTGCCGCCTGCTTCTTGTTGTATCCCCAGTGTCTAACACCCTGCATGGCTCTCTGTAGATGCTCAATAATTGTTATTGTTGTTTAATGAGGTGAAATTTGAGTGGCATCCTTAGGACAGGAAGTCTGACATGTGACTCAACACAGAAAAGATATTCAGTTAACAAAACATATGAACAAAGGCCTGCAGGTGGGTGATCATGGTGTGAATGGTCTGGTATGCCAGGTGTGTAGGTTGTAAGAGGCGGGGAAACACCAAAAGGTCTGTCCTCGAGCTCTAGTCCTCCTTCTCAGGCACTGAAAGGACAGGCTGTCCTTGGCTCTGCACCATTTCAAACTGCCCAGAGCAGAATCAAGCCTATGCACATTATCCCTACTCCTCCCACACCCATTGTGTTATCCCTTATTGATATGATCAGCACCTTTGGTCTTCACCACTAATTCCACTCATTTAACTACTAGGTCGGTGCCAAGCAGAGTTACGCCATCTGATGCCTTGATACTAGAGAGAAACCTAAAGACGTGTCATTATGTTAGAAGCAGGGAAAGCAAAACTCAGAAATGAGCAGGGGCTTTCCTAGGGTCACCAAGTAAATCACTGTTCCTTGCAGATTTATCTCCATGTTCTAAACCTGGACTGAGCTTCTCAATCCCCTAAAACTGTCCTCTTTATGCATGAATTTCCTTCCATGTTAGTTCAAATTCCTCTTTTTAAAGTTTTCTCTGGTCCCTTCTTTCAAATCCCTTGTCCTAGAACCTGCATCCATTTTCCAAATGTATAGGTTTTCTCTGCGTTATCTCAGCAAGTTCCATCACACTAACTACAGCCCTGAGGAAAGGACCTTCCGTGGAGCTGCCATCGTTGTGGATTTGCTCCCTATACAGGTGGGCCTTAGGGAAAATCCTATATTCAAAGGATTATTAATCTGGAAGGAGCACCCTAAATTTTCTAGTGCAGTCCCCTCAACTTACAGAAACTGGGCCCAGAAAAGGTCAGGAACAGGCCCATGATTATACAGGTAGAGCCCAAGGATGATGACCCGTAACCTACCGCTCATGGTATTTCCTGACTTTACTTTCATCCAATTGAAACCAGGGCTTCTGAGCCTCTCCATACTGCGCATTTAGGGCCAAGGGAGAAGAATTACCTATCGCAAAGACCACTGGACTGAAAGTCAGAAAGCCTAGAAATTCCTTGTGGGAATTTAGACAAGCCCCTGCAGCTCTCCAAACATTAGTTTCTCCATCTGTATGATGGGGATAATAATATGCCTCACAGAGTGGTTATAAGGATTAAATGAAATAATGGACATAGAACATAATTTTGAAACTACAAGGTGAAAAAGCAAGATCAAGTGAAAGCCTCATTTCTGTTATCATGAATGTGCAAGTGATAAAAACCTCTGATACAGACAAGAGAGGTAAGGGTTGGCAGGAACCATTGTCAGTGGTATGCTAGAAATGGTTTGCATCAGCTGTCAAGAGCTGAGGGGACCCATCTCTTCCCAATTCTGGGTTCAAAGATGTCAAATTGGGGGCCTCCCTGGTGGCCTAGGGTTAAGTCTCAGCGCTATCACTCCCACAGCCTGAGTCTAGGCAGGGAGCTGACCAATATAGGGCGCAGCAGACCTCTCCTGTCTTGCCCACTGCTCTTCTTAGGAGTGTATTTCAGTAAATCCACCTGCTCTGTTCCCCACTCTGTCTCTGGTGAATCCTCTCCCCCTCCCCCTCCCCCCAATCCCCGGGCCTCTGGCCTACACTCCAGTTCTTCTATGCAAAAATTGCAAAAATTAAAAAAAAATAAGTTGTCAAATTGGTAGCCTAACATTGGCTATGATGGGGCTATTTAGAAATCCACAAATGATACAAACTGGGGTCCCCCCAAAAAGATGTTTGATAAACATTTACCAGCACAAGCCTAGAAACAGTGTGAAAGGCTGAATCACCATGACTGAATACAGTGTGCTTGTTTGTAAAGAATGAGAGGCATGGAATTCCCTAAGGAAGAACTGAAGCCAGGGCTCAGGGGTTGTTGTGATGTCTGAACTGGGTCTCCAAGGATGTGATGGTGGGTCCCAGGGGGCAAGGAATGATTGAATAGAAAATACCAACCTGTAGACTGTACTGACTGGGCATATACCCATCCCGGAAGTAAACCACAGCAATTTCCTGGCCATCCCTGGAACACAGGATGGAGAAAGCTGCTGCGTTAAATTAAAACTGATGTGTTCAGTGGTTCAATCCATTTCAAAGTGTATCAAAATGAATTTGGCTTCTTTGAAAGTCAGTCCACAGGGGTAGTCTGAGGAGAGGTTTCATGGGAACTAATAAAGGAGATACCCACATTGCCACTGCTTCTACTAAAAACACAAAAGTGTACAGTAAAAAATGTTTTACAACATTCCACATCTAGGTAAATTAAAAAAAAAATTGGGGGCTCAAAATTATCAAGCAGCAGAATCATATTGCCAAATTTAGCAAAACACACTTGTATTTTACATCTGTTAAAAAGCTGAAACCAGAAAGATTTTTTTAACAATGGTGGGTATGAGGGTGGGAAGATACAAAATTATGAGTCTAATTAAAACACAGATTGGCTTTTTAACTTCTTTCCCTTTTCTTTGATTTATTTGATATTGTCTGGTTTATCTAGAAAGTAAGTTAACAACTTCATTTTCTTGTGATAAAAGCACATTTTGAAAATAGTTAAGTGGTACTGAGAAATTTCATGGAGTTTCTTAATTTTAAGAGTCACAAAGTTCCAGATCTAAAGAGTGTGTGAGCTGCAAGTAATGCTACCCAAACATGAGGTACTAAAGCCACCTGGTGGCTGTCCCTGGAAGGAAGCACAAGACCTACAGATCTAGGCCCCTTGATCTTGCTTGAGCCCAGAAGGCAGCACCTAGATCAATCACAGAATGAGCCGTGACTCATTCTGTTCCCCCTTCCTCCCTGACTACCCAGCCCTATGCCTAGATCTGACTTTACCTCTCACCAAGAAAGGCAAAAAAACATTTGGGAGGCCAGGGGCATATAAAAGTCAAGGTTATTTAAAAAACATTTTCCATAACGTCAATAGTTCTGATACAACCCTTTAGATGCAGAACTTGGCTGGCCTTCTCTAAAATTTGCTGCAATGATGGGTATTTCAGAATTCTCTCCTAAAATTCAGCCAGAATGGAGCAAGCCATCACACCTCCCAGAAGAAATGACTGTTTAAGGGGAGTGGGAGGCAGAATTTCCCTAAACCAGTCCTCTATTGGTTCCTTGGGGAATGCTCCTTGGAACTTACATAAACAATTTCCGGTCTTGGTCCAGAGAGGCTTTTACAGAGACATCTTCAAACCTTCGCCGGATTACATGGATGTTCCTGAGAAAGATGGATATGGGTCAGAGGGGATGGGTGCTCTGTCCTGAGTGATTTCCCCAATCCTAGAGGCACATCTGGAGGTCTTCCCTCCTTTACTTACCTGGCCAGTAGTTCATTCTCTATGGCACGCTGGTCAAATATGTTCCTTTCCTTTTCTTGAGCAATCAGTAGCACCAGAGCACTGCAGAAAGAGGACAGGTGGTCCAAGGCAGCTACAGAGCTTGTCCTAACTCCACCCTATCTTTTTAGGGAATGAGGACACAGATTCCTAGAAAGCACTGTTCTCTCAACTCAGGACTGCCCCAAGCATAGACATCTGAGGTTATAGTACATTATTTTCTTAAAAGAGGAAACCTGGAACAAGTGGAGATGTCTCTGCTTTTCAGGATGTAAGTGAAATAGTACAGTCATATTAGTTTTCTGTGCACATTAAAATTTAGATTTAACGCCATCTCAAAAACCCAAGAGGGCTTTTTCTTAGAACTAAATATAATGATTCAAAAATCTTTTCTGTGAGAATAGTGAAGAATATTTTGTAAAAGAACAATGCTGAGGGGCCCCCCTGGTGGCACAAGGGGTTAAGATGTAGCACTATGAAGCTATCTGCAGCCACTGCAGCAAGAGTTCGATCCCCGGCCAGGAAGCTACCCACATGGCACAGCAGACCTCTCCAGAATCGCCCACTGCTCCCCTCAGCAGTGTATTTCAGTCAGTCTGCCTGTTCTGTTCCCCACTCTGTCTCTGGTGAATGCTGTCACCCTCCACACCTCTGGCCTATACCCCAGTTCTTTCTTTTTTTTTTTAAAGATTGATTTATTTATGCAAGCACTGGATACAGTCAGAAGCACGGGAGGGTGAGAGCATTCACCAGAGCCAGAGCGGGGAACAGAACAGGCAGACTGATGAAATACAGTCTGATGAAATACAGGGGAGCAACAGGCGCAGCAGGAGAGGGCTGAGTGCCATGTGGGACCCTCACCAGCAGCCTGGGATAGAACCGGCGCTGCAGAGGCTGCAGGCAGCTTCGCAGCCCAGTGTTCAACCACTGCGCCACCAGGGGAGGCCCTGTACCCCAGTTCTTGTATACATAAATAAATCTTTTTTTAAAAAAAAAGAACAATGCTGAGGTTTGGAGGCTAGTGACCCTATTATTAGACTGTACAGAATCTTGCATGAAACATTAGAATAACTCAATAGAGTTATTCTACAGAAATCCTACAGAGTCAGCTATAAATAAGGCATCATCTCTCACCATTTGTGGTGGACACAGGGCAACCTTTGGTCCTACAATATTTATGTGAACCTGGGGGCCTACATGGCCTCTTCTTCTCTACTTATCCATGTTTCTTTTTTTTTTTAAGATTTATTTATTTATTTATTTATTTATTTATTTATTTATTTATTTATTTATTTATACAAGCACTGAGTACAGTTCTGAAGCATGGGAGGGTGAGAGAATTCACCAGAGCCAGAGCGGGGAGCAGAACAGATAGACTGACAAAGAATTACACTGCTGAGAGGAGCAGCGGGCGCTGCAGGAGAGGTCTGTGCGCCATGTGGGACCCTCTCCCGTTGGCCTGGGATAGAACCGGCACTGCAGAGGCTGCGGCAGCTTCGCAGCCCAGCGCTCAACCGCTGTGCCACCAGGGGAGGCCCTCCATGTGTTTCTTAAAGAAGCAGGAGCTCAAGGACTCAGGGGAAATTTAATGCTGAAGAACTATCTGTTTAGCTACCAATCAAGCTATTTTCAATTGTCAAAGGTAGGTTATTCTTCTAGCAGACTCTTGCAGGGTTGATGTTCAGCAGTACCTAATTCTAATTTTTCTGTAGCTATAAATGTTCTGTGCCTGTAACCTCTTGCTGAGACTCTTGATGCCCAGACTTTCACTTAGGATTCTAAGTATGTAGTTGGACACTTGTCTCTTTGTCTCTACTTCTCTTGACCTTAGTTGAACCACTTAGATTATACTCTGACCAACTCCTTTCCACTTAGCCAAAATACGGGGTTAGTACTCTCCCTACCCACTAGTACACCTCCCTGACATTTCTTGAGGTCAGACATGATTAAACTGAGCTTTGGCTTTGAATTGGGTACTATCTGAGAGACAAACCAAGCATGAAATTCTCACAAGACACCTTGCCCTGAGAGTCCCGAAGACCAATGACCTTGCTCTTCACTTTGCAGCCTGCTTTGCTCTGCTCATGTGTAGAAGGGTGGCACTTGGCCCAGGCTGACTCATCTCCAAGAAGAGATGAGGAGGAGGCTGGAGGCTGTAGGTCAAAGTGGAACTATATGCCCTGGTTAATTAAGTCAGCCTGTCCCTAAGCCAGACTCAGAAAACACATTCTACCTCCTCCTACCTTCAGTTCTCAGTAGCCTATTGAGAGCAGGACTAGGAAAGTTGTCAGCTAAGGGAGGTGAGGTGGCAGTAGCATGCTTGTTGGAAGTGAGGATTCTTGACTCGAGTTCTTACTCTGCCAGTGACTTGTGGTGCATCCCTGGGCAAGTCAGTTTCTCTCCTTGGGCCCTGACTTCCCCAGCTAGAAAACAGAGTGTTAAACAGATCATAGTTCCCAATCTTTGACACCAAGAATTACCTTGTCTTATCCATACTTGTTCCAACCATAGATCCTGTATTTTGAGGTTTGTCTAAATGTCTAAAGTTGAAACCATAATTCATTTTCCATACTTTCTCTAAAAAAATTTTTAAAAGCATGATACTTCTGAATTATATATATATATTATTGTAAACCAATGTTACCTCAATAAAATAAAATTAAACACATTTTATAATATTAATTAAATTATTTAATTAAATAAAATTAAATTTAAAAAGCATGAGATAATCAATGAAAATTCTTTTGCTCTATAAATGTTCCAGCCTCAGTTTTGTTCAGTTTCTAGTATGGGACCATACTTCTTAGAGGCAGAACAGTGCAGTAGAGAGCATAAGTGTTAGGGGCTGAGAGACAAGAATTCTAAACTTATTAGCTGTGTGACTTTGGGCCAGTTACTCTGAGTCTCTGAGTCCTCAATTTACTCCTCTGAAAAATAAACCTGGTACTTCTTAAATTGTAGCCAACATTACTATAATTATTGTTGAAAGTGCAACATAGTGAGCCTCATCAATTTTTTTTAAATATTTTTTTTAATTTATATTTTTATTTATTTATGCATACAAGAGCTGGGGTGTAGGTCAGAGGTGCAGGGTGTAAGAGGATTCACCAGAAACGGAGTGGGGAGCAGAACAAGCAGATCTACTGAAATACACTGCTGAGGGGAGCAGCGAGCGAGACAGGAGAGGCCTGCTGCGCCATGTGGGTCAGCTCCCTGGCCAGGGATGGAACTCAGGCCGCAGTGGCTGGCAATAGCATAATAGTACTAAGTTTTCAAAACCTGCACCACCAAGAAGGCCTCTCATTGAATTTTTTAAAGCATTTTTTTATAGCCATGGTATCATTTACTTCTCATCACCACCTTTTATTATTTTGAACTCCATTTAACAAATGTCAGGAAACTGACACTCAGAGAAAAGAAGGTCATGTGCTGGGTCAGCAGTAGTGCCTCTCATTTTCAGAACGAAGGGAGCCAAATCTGGCTCAGGCAGCCACAGTGCCCACCCACCTGAGTCTGTCTGCACACGTGAGCCTCCTCTCCATGATACTCACAGCCTGGCAGGAGAGTCTGTCTGTAGCACTTATCCATCAGCAGCTCCACAGTTGACCCATCACTTGGCTTCACACTCTTAAAATACAACCTAGCCAAGAGCTCTACATGACAGAATATTTCTCCGATGAGGATTTTTGAGTCTTAATAAGGCTTAGTAAGTCCAGAGAGGCTCTCTTAGAGGCAGTAAAGTGGACTCTGGGCTCTACCACTGACTCACCGCTTGACCTATAGCAATTTACTTTATTTCTCTGAACTTCAGTTTCCATACTCATAAAATGGTGGAACAAACAGTCTCTACCTTCAAGGGTTTAAATATGAGGAAGCAATGAGACCCTGTGTATAAAGCACTTAGCATAAAATGGGGCACTTCTAAGTGCTCATTAGGGTTAACTATTAGTGCTCTGTTAACAATGCAATAAATGTTAGTATAGGACCTCTTCATTATTCAGAAGTCACCAACCTAGCATCTTCACACATGTGGAACACAGTTGAGAAATAGGAAGGAAGCAAAAAAAATGCCTCTAAGCAATTAAAATAGACCCCATAAATTCCCTAAATCGAAGTTTATGCATTCACTCATCAAAGAGGCCCTCATATTCTTTGGATAGAATCATAACAAGCCAGAACATTTGCTTTCCCAAACCACAGCAAATTAGAAAGGAGGCATGGGGATGCGAGTGGAGAATTCCAAATTCAAGTACACTGACATCAGTAAGAAGAGGTGATAATAGGGAAATTGATGAGAACTGTGAAGAAAAAGGGCAAAAGCTTAAAGCCTAACATTTAGTACCATTAGTACAGGCAAACAACTTCACATGCCTCTTTAGTAAGTTCTCTGCATTACATCAAAATGCAATCAATGAAAAGCATAATAATATCTCCAGTCAACAGGAAAAGATTATAGTCATCTCTTATTTAAGAAATAAGTCCAGGGGCCTCCCTGGTGGCACAAGGGGTTAAGTTTCAGCACTATTAAGCTTTCTGCAGCCACTACAGCGCGAGTTCAATCCCCAGCCAGGGAGCTGACCCACATGGCACAGACCTCTTCTGTCTGGCCCGCTGCTCCCCTCAGCAGTCTATCTTGGTAGATCCACCTGTTCTGCTGCCCACTCTTTCTCCAGTGAATCCTCTCACTCCCACCCCCAGCACCTCTGGCCTATACCCCAGCTCTTGTATGCATAAATAAAACAAATCTTGAAAAAAAAAAAGAATTCCAAAACTTCATTAAAATAATTTTGGCACTGAAAGTATAAGCTTCTGTTGTAGGAAAATTCCCTCAAATCCCTAATGATATCAGGCAGTGATCAGGCAAAGAAATTGCTGCACCCAGGAATGCTGAATCTAAAGTAGGATTCCGCTGTCACTTTGTCACCCACTTACTTGGCTGAGCCATAAAGCTCCCAGGCTTTGGCGATCCCCAGGGCCAGTCCCTTGCTGGGATCATTGGAAAGGATCTTGGCAGCTTCCTTGGTCTTATTCAGTATACTGAGAACATGTCTGTTGGAACAGAGATGTCTGTTCAGTAATTGGGCAGACTTGGAAGACCCCTCTGATCATGAACTCACATATATATAGGAACATCATTTTGAGAATCAGCTGAGTATTAAAATATATCTTACCATTACATTCCTGAAGAATCCACCTCAGGCTGGAATATGCTGGGGTGCCCTACCCTAGCCCCTGGTGAACATGTCCAGAGGAACCCTGAGGCCCTGTGTATCCATGCAAACCCCTCAATGAGCTAAAACCCTTTCCCTAAGCCCCAGATGCTGTCTGGGATCCTGCTATAGGCCATATGCAATCACAGGAAGTGATTCCTGCAGTGTCACAGGCAGCCCCTGTATCCATCTCTGCCTTGGATTCTGACCTTTTTTCAGACCTTCCCACAAGTCAAGTTCCTTCTCTCTTCAGGGATCTTGTAAATACTATTCCCTGTGCCCAGGATACTCAATTCATAAAATGATGGGGCAGTACTAGATGAGCTGTGTCAATCCTTCTGCCCCTGACATGCCAAGACCTAACTGTTCTGTGGTATAAGGTGTTAGAAGCATAAGACCCAGGACCTAGAAGGTGAGAGTTGAAGATTCCTGCCCCTCCCTGACCACCGGGATTGTAGATTTATTAGGTTGTCACCTCAATGGTGTGCCCAGGGCTGCCCAAGAGACCCACCGGTGCACAGCTGGGGTCCGGGAAGCCAGGCCCCCAAAGCTGGCAGAGATCGTGTTGATTTCAATCTGTTTCAGGGCTGAGGAGCCATCAGCGTTGCACTGGAACATGTAGTCTGAGCGATTCAGACCCAGGAACACAGTCTGTGGGGAAAACTGAAGGTTGAAGACATTTGCCCAGGAGCTGGCTCTGAGGGCCTAGCCACAGAGCAAGACATACCAAGAACTCTACAGAGAGATCAGGGGCTGTGCTATACTCCCAAAGCCGGTGGAAACATTCTGTGGGTAACCTCACAATTGGTCGCTGAAGTACAAACCCCGTGGGGAACGATGAGAGGCAGATTCCCATGCATTCAGGGCCTGTTTATCGGAACTTCTGATAAAGAGCAACAAAACAGAGGTGGAAGGGGCAGGTCCTAGACTGGGGTAACATGGGGAATGGTTACCTGAGCAATGCCCTCTTTCAGAACTTGCTTATGGATGTCAAAGAGACGAGCGGTAAAGTCGTCCTTTTTGATGGTGCTGGAGGAAGAAACAGAACATTTTCTAGGTTATGTGGGACCTTAAAGGTCAAAGAGTTACACCCCTCTACATTGATTGCTAAATCCTTTCTGAATCTAGTGGCCCAAACTTGAATAACCACACTTGAATACCACACAAACCAGTAAAAAACAGTGGTTGAGGATGTGAGCTCCAGAGCTAGTGACCTGGGTTCAAATCCTAGCTCTACCATTCACTACTAGGCAAACTCAGAGAGTCATTTCACCTCTGTGTTTCAGCTTGCTCATTTTTAAAATGAAGAGAAGAATATATCGTTGAGTCATGGTGAGAAGTAAATGAGGCATTACATGTACAGAACTGAAAACAGTATTGGCCCCACGAAGAACTCAAACATGACATGTGATGTAATCATTCTATACTTGAGTAGTGCTGATGGTGGCAAGCCTTCCTGGTCCCCCAACATTCACTCCCTATAGCTTTCTCACATGCTGGGACCTCTCAGGATTGTCTTCTCCATTTTTTCCATGGTAGCCCTTGGAGATTAGGAGATAGTAGTCATGCCCTGTGCCTCAGTAAGGTTTTTCTGACTCAGGATAACTATCCTATTTTTCTCTTCAACCAGTCCTCAAATGACATGATTTCCTCAGGGAAACCCTCCCTGTCTAGGTCAGATTCCCTTGCACCGTGGTCCTCTACTTTATAGCAATGATTGCACGACCCTCTACCCTCTCCTCCCTTATTTTTCCTTGTGTGAGGATCAGAGTTGGCTTTCGGCTCTTCTATTTGACTATGAACTGCATGAGGCCGGGGACCATGTCTATGCTGGCTCATCATCATGGCCCAGCATGCTGCTGTGACAAGTGATATGAAATAGGGGCCCATTCTGTCTGGCTTTCAGGAACCTCAGGAACAGGTACTCATGGGTGACTAATGCCACACTATTACCTTTCAAGATTTTAGGGCAATCTCTGTGTGCTTGCTCAAGTCTGACTTGCAGGCTGATCTTGTTATAGGACCCCACTGAGTCCGAGGAGTTCAGACCTGCCCCCAAGTTCCAGTTTCCCAGCCAGTTCTCTTGTGGGGTTTCCCAATCCTTTGTGAAGGAAGAAAGTTCTCAGAATGGCTTCAGCCCCCCTAGGAAAGTTGAGACACATTTCCCTTCTTCTGAAGAGATACTTCTCTATTATTCTAGCATATGTGCTTGTGGGGTGCTTCTTTCCTACCAGAGTGTGTGCATTTTAGAGTAGAGGAAATCAAGGAAGTCAGAGGTTGCAGAAATGGCCGCAAGAAAGGTTTCTCACATAATTGCATTATTAAGGTAAAGGTCCTAAGTCAGGCTGCTCCTATTTCACAATACAAAAGCCAGGCATGCCTCAGGAAAGATCTGGGGGAGGAAGGTGGCAGTACTGTTTACACATTCATGACTCATTAGGTTTTTAGCTCCAAGTCAATGGTTTCCAAACCTCTTACTATCCTGATCCCTTCTCATATCCACCCTCAACTCAATGTGAATTTTTAAAAAAGATTTTGTCTGAAGCAAAACCAGATAATTATAAATCAGAGACTTACTTCAGGGGAGGAGGTGGGAGAGGGATCAGAGGGAGAGAGGGAGGAGCACAGGGGACTGAGGTGATGGTGCACAGGTGCATTGGGGAAGGAAACTCTATGGGGACTACACCTGAGGGGGGAGAAGCAAATATTGTTTAAAAATGAACAATGATGTAAAAAAAATTAATAATAAAAAAGGATGTAAAATGGAAAAAAAAAGAAATGAATTGTTTTCTTTTGGGAAAAAAATCACACATGCATTTGTATATGTGCAATCTCTTTCTCACATACATACATTTACATATATGTATACACATGTATTTATTTAATTCTAATATAAAAATTTAACTCTAAAATAAAGCAAAGAAAATGAAAACTAAAGTAATAAAATAAAGCAAAAACATTTCCCATGTTCCTAGGAGCTGCGGGAAAGAAAGATCAAGGGAGAAGAGACAGTGGAGGGATGGTGTGGTGGTGGCAGTCATTTCAGGGACTCTGTCCTCATGCCAGGTGGCCCACCACATCCCACCTAGACCAGAGAGGCCTAGGTGACAAGAAAGGGTTTTTGTTTAAGAAACATGAAATCCGATTTTAAATCCAGTGCCCTCTATTTTCTCTAAAACTAGGTTGACCTTCCCTAATCCCAAAGGGAAATTTCAGTCTTCAAAGGGAGTTACTGATGGGAGAAGCTATTTGCACATCATATATCCAACAAGGGGTTAATTTGCAAAAGATATAAAGAACTCATACAACATAAAAACAACCCAATCAAAAAAAATGGGTAAAGAACTGAATAGATACTTCTGAAAATCACTTATTGTTAGAGAAATGGAAATCAAAATCACAATGAGATATCACCTCACATCTGTGAGAAGAGCCTATATCAAAAACACTAGAAAGGACAAGTATTGGTGATGTGGAGAAAAAGGGACTCTCAATAACTGTTGGTGGAATTGCAAGTGGATGCAATCTCTATGGAAAATGGTATGGAGAGTATTTTAAAAAACTGAAAACAGAAATATGATATGATCTGGCAAAAGTGCTCCTAGGTATTTATCTGAAGAATATAAAAACAAGAATTTTAAAAGATATATGTACCTCTATGTTCACAGCAGCATTATTCACAATAGCCAAGACATGGAATTAACTTAAACATCCACTGACTGATGACTAGATAAGGAATTAATGACTGGACAAGAAACCCAGCTATTGAAAAAGATAAAATCTTGCCTTTGGCTACAACATGAATGGAATTTGAGGTGATTATGTTAAGTGAAATAAGTCAGAAAGTAAACAATTACCAGATGGTTCTACTCACAGGTAGGCTGTAAATAACCAAGCAAACTACAAGATACAACAAAAAAATAATTCTTAGACTATGAAAAATTCGGTGGTTATCAGAAGGAAAGGGGAAAGGAGGTATTTCAATGGGCAGAAAGGGTCAGTTTGATAGCATGATGACCCTAGAACTCTGGTGGTGGACGAGGGAAGCTTATACATATATTGAGTTGTGAAGCTATGCTAAAATTATATAGCTTTGTAAATGAACAGTAAATTAATGAAATTTGATTTAAAGAACAAAGCAAAAACAAAGCAGGGGTCACAGATCACAGAATCATGGAATGTCAAGAGACATTAGATTTAGGCCAATCGCCCTATTTCACACATGAAGATATTTAAGGCTCAAAGAAAAGAAAGGGGCTTGTGTTTGAAGCCATATAAGTAAATGGTAGAGCAAGGATTAGAAGCCAGTTCTCCTAACTTCTATTCTAGTACTTATTTTTCTTGGAGGGCAGTCCCTGTTTCCCCCACTGACTCAGCTGCTAGACCAACTACTCCTGGTTCCCCATTCTTTAGTCTCTTGGTTCTAGTAGCAACTGGTCCCCTCCCCCAGCCCTGCTGCATAGTACCTGGAAAGAGTTTGCTCCAGAAAGGCAGAATTCTGGCTGACAGCATCCACTAGCAGGTTGAAGTCCATCTGCACAGCATAGGCCTGCTCCAGCAGGGCACTGGGAACCAGTGAGGGGAAGAGAGTGAATGGGGCATAGCTCACCACCTGGTGAGGAAAGAGAGGGACAGACACCTAAGTTGGGTTGTTTTCCTGGAAAATAGTGGTTACCTCCGGGAAGGGAGAGAGAACAGGATGAGGAAGGGATACCAAGAGAAGTTCTAGATTGTAATGTTTTGTCTCTTTACATTAAAGACAAAAAGATCAAACTGGAAAAAACAATAAAATTTTAAAAATTACTTGATGGTTCAAATTTTTAAAAATTAAAGTTAAAAACAAAACCCCCCAAAAAAACATTGAGCACTTACTGTGTGCAAGGCACTGCTTTAAATACTTTGCATGAGTTGATCATGCAAAGGAAGAAACTATTATTATCTATACTTAATAAATAGATAAGGGAACTGAGTCTTAGAGAAGTTAAATAACATGTCCAAAATTATATAAGGTTGGGGCCTCCCTGGCGGCGCAAGGGGTTAAGATGCAACCTATGAAGCTATCCGCTATTATAGTGGATAGCTATCCGCTATCGTGGCTACCGCAGCACGAGTTTGATCCCCAGCCAGGGAGTTAACCCACATGGCACAGCAGACTTCTCCTGACTCCCCCGCTGCTCCCCTCAGCAGTGTATTTCAGTCAGTCAGCCTGTTCTGGTCCCGGCTCTGTCTCTGGTGAATCCTCTCACCCCCCACAACTCTGGTCTGTACCCTAATTCATGTATGCATGAATAAATACATTATTTTTTTTTAAATTATACAAAGTTGTCAAATGGGAGCTGAACCAGGATGGTTATTTAACAATACACACACATACACACTGAGCTCCTAGCCAGCAGGTATCCACGCCCAGACCCCTCCCCACACCAGGAACTTACACCCTTTAGTACTTTTGCCTTCTCACTGGGGAAGAGTGAACTCTGGCCCCCAGAGTGGAAGTAAGGAGTTTTCCCTCAGTGTTGGAGATGGTGATCAGGTTGCCATGCCTGGAGTTCAGCCATGTTCTGAGTTCTTTATATTTGGGGAGGGCCTAGAAACCCAAAAAGTATCTAGAACATTGTTTCTAGAATAGATAATGCATTTTGAGATTCCCAACAGCCAGTGAACTAGAACTTGGGTGAGAGGGCATGATCATGTGACTTGTTTTATAAAGCATTCCTAAGTTCAACCTGAGTTAACACCAGTTTGCCATTATGGTAGTACAAGTTTGGTGTTAGAAGTTGGCACTTATATATTTATTTTTAAAAATAAATACAATTTTGAATAGATGATATAAACACATGATACATAATTCAAAAGAGACAGAAGTATACATAGTGAAAAGTATGTCTCATTCCCACCCTTGCCCCAATGACCCAATACGCCTCCCTAGAGGCAAATGGTGTACTAGTGTCTCACATAATCTAGCATCTTTATACTAATATAACTATGTACATACATATTTTCTTTTTCTTACACACATAGAATCATATTACACATAGATTGTTTCATCTTTGTCTGTTTTAATATTTCAGAGGTATGTCCATGTGTGTTCAAATTTAATGGCTGTATAGTATTCTATTTTTGAATATACCAAATTTGTTGAATCTACGCTTATATTATGAACACTTAGGTGTTTTCTTTTCACCTCCCGGGTTATAGTCAACTGTTATGAATATCCTAGAATACACATACTAGGTATTTGGAATTTATGAAGTCATAAATTATAAATTTCTAAACGTGGAAAAGCCAGGTAATTACAGTAAATCCATTTAAATTTTGATAGGTAATTCCCAAATTGCCATTCTCAGCATCTATTTTAAGACAAAACTGAGGAAGGGTATTTGCAAGAGTAAGGATCACTCCCCCTCCATCATCCCTACCCTCACCCCTTCATCCCAGCTTGAAGCCTTTTTGAGTTAGACTGGGAATTACTGGAGATTATGTAAGGCATGATCTCATACTGAGTTCAGGTTTAATGATTACAGGGGCATTTCCTTGGCTATAAAACCCAGAATGCTGCCTCTTTCAACAAGTCTCATCTGGTCTGAAAATGCACAAAGAATTTTTCTGCTAAGTCTTCCCTCTGCCTCTGTCCCCAGGACCTAGGATGTCCACTTCTATTTGGGATTGATCATACACAGATGTTCCCCACTGTCCATAGACTAATGGCTGAAACACAAGGTCTTTTCACTTTTGATTGAGACACAGATACAGGGTAATATTCTTCAACCATAAGAAAAATTATAGCATATGCATAACAATAAACAATCTGTTTCACAGTCAGGGAGATGAAAAACTCCATCAGAGTGACGGGGAGAAGAAAAACTCTCATCTTATCTGAAGAGGGGCAAACCAGAACTCTACTCAAACTGCTGCCACATAGGAAACCACTTTTCTAGTTGCCAGCTGATCTGATTTTTCTTTTCTCTTTTTTTAAAGATTTATTTTTTATTTATACAATAGTTGGGGTACAGGCCATAGGTGCAGGAGGATGAGAGGATTCACCAGAGACAGAGGGGGGGGCAGAACAGGCAGAGAGACCAAAAGCACCGCTGAGGGGAGCAGCGGGTGCAACAGGAGAGGTCTGCTGCGCCATGTGGGAATATCCCTGGCTGGCCGGGAATTGAACACACACTGTAGAGGCTGCAGACAGCTTCACAGTACTGTGCTCAACCCACTGCGCCACTGGGGAGGCCCTCTTTTTTGTCTTTTTTTTTTTTTAAAGATTTTTATTTATTTATGCATACAAGAACTGGGGTATGGGCCAGAAGTGTGTGTGGGGTGTGTGTGAGAGGATTCACCAGAGATGGAGTGGGGAACAGAACAAGCAGACTGACTGAAATACACTGCTGAGGGGAACAGTGGGCAAGAAAGGAGAGGTCTGCTGGGCCATGTGGGTAGGTGGGGGATCCAACTTGTGCTGTAGAGACTGTGAATAGCTCACAGTGCTGTGCTTAACCTCTTATGCCACCAGGGAGGCCCTGACCTGATTTTTCAAGACAAACTGGGTATCTAGATGTTTTTTAATTTCATGATTAAAAAAAGTTGGTTTTGATATTTTAAAGATATTCTGGTGAAAAAGCAACAAAATACTTTCCTCTGTGGGTAGAACAGTGATAGCAAAAGGAGATTTGGTTTATACTGGATACCCTTTTGAATTCTGTATCCTGTTCCTGTATTTTAAAAAATGAATTAACTCCCTAAACACTGCAGAAGCCAGCTATTCAGTCTGCACAGGCTGGTTTGTAGGCACAATAGACAGGATGAAGTTCATGCTCTTCTTCCACCCAGTAGCCAAAGCCTTTGCCTGCCTTTGGATTGCCTTCTCTACCACTATGAGCACTTACATGCCCTGAATTCAGAGTGTTCTTTTGAACATATCTTGCATTTTCTTACTGTGGGGCTTCTGTTATGCTGGTCCTTTCTGTTATTTGCCTTTTTAAGATCTAATTCAAAATACCACTAATGAATTACATTCAGATGTCCTATACAGCATCCTGGGAGATGCAGTAAAACATGGGAGTCCAGAGCACCAAATCAGGAGGCAAATTCCTTGGATTTGAATTCTGGCTTCATTGATTACACCACCATTTAAATGATCTCAAGCAAGTTACTTAACATCTCTTGACCTTGGTTTCCTCATCTCTATAGTGGTGAGGAATTAAATGAGTTAGTGATTCCAAAGTGTTTAGAGTAGTGCCTAGCACACAGCAAATACTTAATAAATGACAGTTAATATTGTGCAGCAGGCTGCCTATGTTTCCTCATAGATCTGATATTATTTAATTTTATCTTGTGTACATTTTCAAACTGGAGCACGATTTCTAGAGGATAGATCTCTGACTGAATCACCTGTGTCCTCAATGCCTAGAATGTTCTAGCATAGATCAGGCAGACAGTAAAGATATGAAATTAAACTGCACACACACACGCACACACACATTCATACACTTTTTTTTTTCCCCTCTGGACTGGGAATCTCATGGAGTTAAATAATCAATTCATGTTAAGTATTTAAAACAGTGTCCTGTTCACAGGGAACTTGGGAAAGAATACAAATTCTGGATTGGGAATCTCTTTTCTAGGCTCCACCAACTTTCAGCAATTATGAGTACTAGACATTAATACAAAATTATCTCCTGTTGATTAAGAGAAGAAACAAAATCTGGGAGCAGTAAATGCTTTATCCTGCACTCAGACAAGCAGTTCACAAACTCTAAAGTCCACAAATCAAGCAACCATATTTCCACAGCCAGAGGCAGACCTTCCAGTGTTTGCCTCAGGTGACGGCCATTCTCATTACTCAGGCATCAGCACACACTTACCCCTTTGGACTCTCCACCAGCCCCTTAACTAGATTCTGGGCACACAGAGACAACAGAATGTGACTTGACTAAAAAAAAAAAAGTTGGTGGCAGCTCTTTTGTTATCAATATGGATGCTCATAAAGCATACTATAAAAAAAAAAAAAGTAAGGTACACAAGAGTTTGTCCAGTAAGCTTCTTTGTAAAAAGTAAGGAAGGGAAGCAGGAATATACACATTATTTTTTTATTGGAAAGAATAAATAAGAGTGCCTTCAGGACAGGAGAACTGAGTGGCTAGGGAACATGGAAGGGTGAGTTAAACCACAAACTCTTAAGCCCTTTGAATTTTGAACCATGAAAATGTCTTACCTGGTCACAAAATTTAAAAGGTGGGTTTTTTGTTTGTTTTTGTAAAGGGTAAGATTTTTTAAGAGATGTGGCTTGGACTCAGCAGCTCTAATTTTATGTATCAACCCTAGACAAATGCCCAAACAAGGCCTGCATATAGATGTTCCCTGTAAGGCTATCTGTAGTCTAAAAATATCAGAAACCACCTAAATAGCTACTAGTAGAGGAAAGTTAAACCACCTAAATAGCTACTAGTAGAGGAAAGAGGTGTTGACACATCAACACCTGGCATATTTTGCATCTGAATTAAGTTGATCCTAATGAAGGAGCTAGAAAGAGCTCTAGGACAGATGTTAAATAAAAAAACTAAAAACATCACAAAATAATATGTGTGATTCAATTTTTTTTAAAAAACTATGTATATAGTGTATGTGAATGCACAGCGAATGACCTAGAAGGATATACAACCAATTCTAGAGAAGGTAATGTGATTAGGGAAGTCTTAAAAAAATAACAGCTCACTAGGCAAAGTGCTTCATTCATGTGAATCATCTTCTCATTCTCTTATCAACTCAAAGGTAGGTCCCAATATTAGCCTTTCTTTTATATTTGAAGAAAATGCAGTTGAGAGATGTTAAGTAATTTGCCTAAATCACACTTCAAATCCCAGATTTAAAATTGACTACTCTAGCATGTTGCTTTTTTACATATGTCTAGTTCTTGAGAAAAATTAAATAAAGCAAAAGAGATGAGGTCTCTGAGCCAAAGGAACTACCTCTAGCCTGGCAGGGGCCAGACAGTGTTCAGTTGACCCTGAGCAATGTAGTCAGAGTTGTGTGTAGCAGGGCAGAGGCTTACATCTGAGGAGTTGGGCTTCTGTGAGGTCCTCAGCAATACGCCCTCAGCCAGGGCTCGGTCTACGGCCTGCCGTGCCAGCTCCTCCAGCAGTTGCTCATCCTGTAATAGATTCTCCCAGACAGTAGCCATCCCAACCTGCAATAGAAGAGGGGAGGACTTGGTGACAGATGGCTTGGGCTCAGCAATCACCTCCAACATGCAGGATTCTAACCTGTTTAAGAGGGAACAGTGTGGTACAGGGGCATGAACACTAACTAGTACCAGCTCTTAACAACTTTCATGTACACAAAACAGAAAGCCTCACAAAGCATTTCCATTGCCACACTCTCCTTTGATTCCTAATACAGTTCTGGCATTATTCTCACAATAAGGAGGAGGAAGCTCAGAGAGGTAAAATGACTCTTCCAGGCAATGATTATTAAACCTGGACTTGAACTCAAGTTCTGGGTTCTCAGTCCAATGTTTTTCATTGAGAAAGAGGCACTAGTGCCATATGTGATTGGGGAAGTTCCTTCCTCTCCCAAAGCTGCAGATTCTCTATCTGTGAAAGAAGGAGGATGGGGTTGACCAGTAGTTTCCAAACCTGGCTAAATATTCTGGAGAGCTTGGGAGAGAATACAGGTTTCTGGGTCCCACCCAGAGATTCTGATTCAAGAGATCTGAGGAAGAGAAAGGGACTGAAGCTCTGTATTTTTAACAAGTTTTCCTGGATTATTAATTTTCTTTCTTGCTCTAACAATCCATGCCAACAGATCGCAAATAAATTACGTAGCATGGATGGGGATAGGGAAAGAGCCTTTTGTGGAATACCATGAAATGCAGATAAGGTGTATCCCTCCCAAGCAGACTTACTAGCAGGAAATGATTACATTTCATGTATGTATGGATAAATATCATCACAGCACCAAAAGAGAAACTATATTTGAGAATCACATTAAGCAGGATAGAAATAAGTGAAACCCAGATGTCATATATAACAGAGTCCCACTGGCTGTCCAGAAACACACATCCTGATACTAATTCAATTTGTAGTAGGCCCCAGGAATTTAAAATCTAAATTAAAAACCTGGAAACACCAGTCATTAATTCTGTTCTGTCCTACTATCATTTGATTTTAGGAACAGAACAAGGCTACCTGGCTCAGTTGTTGCCAGGAATAACCTCCATCACATTCAGCCCCATTCTCCTTTCCCGTAACAGAATTATTGCTAGAATAATTATGAAAGCCCGCTGGCCGCATCACAATGCTTTGAAAGAATGAAGATATGATGGAAAGAAGGTCCTGACAACATTCCCTGTTGGGTGATAGATGAGGGCAGTGATAGTAGAGGACAAAGCTCTGGAACCATTCAGACTGGAATTTGAGCCAATAATATTACTTCCTTTATAAATAAGACTGTGGTATGAATTAAATGAGAAAAATCTGTGTGAAGTTGCATAGCCATGCTTGGAGGTCTATACTTAGGAGCTTCTTTTTTTGGCTGTACCCACTTCACTTATATACAGGTGACAGAGCAACCTGGTGGCAGAACCAGGACTAGAAACTGTGCCTCTGGCTAAGCTTCCATCTTGCCACAGTTCTCAGATTCCAACATCTCTACCTATTATCAGGCTTGCTTAGTTGGTAAACACTGATTGGCACTTAATGCCAAGCCCTTGACATTGTCTATTGGGGATAGACATAAAAGGTAAGACATAAAAATAATCACTGTGAAAGTGTTAAATGTGCTCTTTGTCTCTCTCATTCTACAGCCTCAACTCTTCATGTGGCTTTATTTTTATTTTGCTGATGACACTCAAATCTAGACCTTCACGATAGTGCGTTCCTGACCCTCATTCTAGAATATCCAACTGCTTACTGGGAATCTCAGTACAACCACTATTTATTGTTGCCACCCCCACAAATCTGTTCCTCTTCTGATAAACCCCACCCCGGGGATCTAAGCTTTGCTGTTACTTCTCTACACCCTATTCTCCCTATATCCTGTGGATTCTATGAAAACATATAGTGCATCACTTTGAATTCCTAAATTTCTCTCCATCTCACTGTTAGGCGCCTCACTTTTCCATCATCTTCACCATCATCTCTTCCCTGGGCACCACACAGATGCAGAGCGAGGACTGTTCGGGGACCAGGATACACTAGCCCGTCTCCCTGTTCTGGGCCTTGGCACTTGCTGTTCTCTAGTAAAACCCACCCCTCCAGACAGGCGTTTTGGACTGCGTTTCAGAAGCCCTCCCTGTTCTTCCCCATCTGGGGCTTTTACAGCCCATTCCTCTACTCTGTACCGTAGGAACCGTGTTTGTCTTACTCACTTCTCTAACTCCAGCTCCTGCTACTCAATGGTAAATGCATGAATGATGAATGAATGAATGACAGGGGCCAGAGTTTCAAAAGCCTTAAAACGCCCACAAGGAAATCGGTTGGACTTTACTCTGTGGGCGAGGTCAGTGCCTGTGAGGGCCTGGTCTCCTGTCCGCGGCTCCCACCCTGCACAAAGCTTGGTCCTAATTGCTCCCCCCACTTTTTTTTTTTTTAAATTCCAGTTTCATTGGCACGGTGTCCCCGCCACCGGTCCGATCTGAAGTTAGAGGAGCTAGAAAATCCAGGATCCACACGTATCATCCCAACCCCCTCACTAGTTTCCTGGTCTCTACCACAGGTAGGAGCTCAACATCTCCCAGCCTCTGGGGTTCCAAGAATCGGCCAGACCCCCTCCGCGATAGCCTTCCTCCCGAGGAAACGTGACCCTCAACGGCCGCCGTTGCCGCGCCTCAACCTACTGGGTCGTTGTCCGGCCGCGCACGGTGCTCAAGCCCCTCGCGCCGCTACTCGCTACTCCAGGGGGCGGGGCCTCGATGCGGCGCAGGGCGCCTGCGCGGGCCGCCCCAGACAGGCTTAAAGAGCCGGGCGGGGGCGGGGCCAGTGCTGGTGCAGCTGGACGGCGGCCGGGAAGGCCCAGTCCGTGTGAGGGCAACTTTGCTTTAGGGCTGCGCGGGCTAGATCCAGGCTGGCTGGACTTTGAGAAGGAGGGGAGGAGTCAGGCTGGGTCGGCAGGGAGCTGCGGGTTTGTTTAGCTCGTAAGGCGCCAGAGCTGGTGACGTCCAATGTAAGATGGGGAAACTGATGCCCAGAACGGGACTGTCATACCTTGGGGGCACACGGGTGATGGGGGTAGGTGTGGTGATAGAGGCTCCCGGAGGGCTGGAGACCCGCGCAGGGTCCCAGAGCCGCTGTTGGAACCAGGCTTCTGTTTGCCACTCAGCGGGGTCTCAGAAAATCTCACCTGATGCGGAACGGCTGCGGGAGAAGCTTGGCGGCCGAGGGACAGCGTTTTCATTTTTCGAGCAATTTTTAAGTTAGGGACGTTTGAGGAGGATCCAGGTTTTTCCAGAATGTCTAAGAATGTCTAATAACACTTGCATGATGATCTGGGGCAGTTTTTTATTTTATTATTATTATTTTTTTTAATGCAGGTGTACCACCTCATCCCTTGGCGCACCCCTCCCCCCTCACTGGTACCCAAGCTTTATCAGTTCCTTTCTGGGCTGTGACAGTCTTCGCAATCTGAAGCACCTGGTATTTATCTGTGCAGGCTTTGAGGAGTTAACTGTGAATATGACACAGCCCCTGCTTTCTCCTCTGATTGAGAAGTTAGACAGGTAAACCTTTTCTGGGGAAGGGGCTCGTGTCTTAAAAGATGGGTAGGAATTGTAGGTAGTGAAGAAAGTAGGGGTGGAGGTTAGAGGCAGAAATAGGGGTAGTGTTCCAAGCAGCAGGTAAAGAAACAGCAAATGAACGACAAATAATCGAGTGCGGCTAGACTTGTTTTAGAGACGATTCGGAGTGTGGTGTACTACTACTCAGCATGACCTGGGAATTAGAGCAGGCTGTTAGGAGTTCAGTCTCGGAGAGGGAACCTTAGGTGCCAGGCTAAGGTGTTTGGCATTGTGCATTGGGGAGCTAAGAGTTTTAAGCAGCAAAGAGACATGGTTTTGTGTGTTAGGTGCTGGTTACAGTGTTGCACGTGATTTAGAAGTGGGGGAACAGTACTGGGAGGCAGGTTGGAGGGAATTAACATGTGAGATGATGCTGGCGCCTCAGCAGTGATTGAGGAGATGGGGAAAAGGGGAGAGATTAGAGGGAGATCTGTGATTAATTATAAATCAGTGGCCCAACCCAGGGCCCAGGAGACTTTCAACTCCTTAAACATTCTGTCTACCGGACAGCCAGGGGTTTCCTATCTTGTTGAGGGAAGGGAATGGATAAGGGCCTGATTATTTCCATAGTATCCTTCTTTTGTCTGCTTTTGTACCTGAGATAGAGTCTGAAGCAAAAGTTACTATAATGGACCCCGGGTGGCAGGGAAAATTCCACCGTGTTAATCAGGAACAAAGGAAGCTATTTTTCTGTGCAGGTTCCCCTCTCCAAGATGGGTGCCAAATGATGTCTGTAAGGTGTTCATTGATGAGATTTGGGGAGCATCCCAGACCTTAACAGCCCTTTGATTGAGTCCCCTCACATGTGGCAGGTAAGGTGTCTTTATTCCCATTTTGTGGATGTGGCAGCTAAACCTGAGAAGTTATGTAACTTATTCAAGGGAACCCCATTTATGGTGGGACTGACTGGGAGTGAGGGACTCTTGACCAAGGGTTTTTTCCTGAGAGGTTTTGTCCTTCCTGCTCCCTCTGTCAGGATGCTTTGGTTTTCTTTTTCATTAAAAAAAAATTTTTTTTTTTACATTTTAAAAGGACAGACTTACTAGGAAAAGGAGAAAAAGAGAAGTACCTGCTTAGTCACAGGCAGGCAGGAGGGCTGCCAGGATGCTTTGGTTTTTAATCTTGACATGACTGACTCCTTGTCCTTCAGATATTTGCTCCTCAGGTATCATTCCCTCGCTATCAGTCTGTATCACATGTATTCTGAGTATTTTCTTGATAGAAGTTATTAGCACCTGAAATTATTAACTTTGTTATTTCCCTCCACTAGCACGAGAGCTTCATGAAAACAGTTATATGCTCCCCACTTTATCCCCATCCCCTGGAATGAGGGGCATAGTCGATGCTCAGTAATATTTGCTGAATGATGGAAATTGGCTGGGGAGGGAGGAGGGTAAACCAGCATTAGGTGAAAGCATGTTTCAGTACTTCTCATAAATTACCTCATTCAACACTCAGGCCTTTCAGGGTAGGTACTACATCTCCGTTGGGTAGGTAAGAAAACATGCTAAGTGAGGTCATGTCATTGGCTTCTTGCTTTTGAGGTCACAGACTTCTTTGAGACTCTTCATTGGACACAGCTTTTCACATATCATATGGAGGAATTCACTGACCTCCTTGGACCCTAATCAGGGCCCAATTCCTAAACCCAACTTTAGGGAACTTGCCAAAGCTCTCTCTGGCCCCAAGCCTTTGCTGGTTCCTCATTCTGGCAAGGATAGAGTCTATTTAGTGGACTAAGTGAGCCTGCTAAAGATTCTGGAACAGAGAGAGATCATGATTCACTGAGCCTTTGATGTCTCTGACCTGGGTTCAAATCCTGATTCTACAAACTAGCAATGGGACTATGGGCAGATCTTTTGATCTCTTTGAATGCCACCTCTCTCTCTCTCTTTCAAAATGGAACCTGTTTTTTCCCTTAACAATGGCTAATCTTTATTGCTCTGCAAACTAAGTGCCAGAAACTTGGCTAATGCCTTTACAGTTATCTCACTTTATGCCACAAACCTGTGAGCTTAGTACTGTTATTATCTTTGTTTTATAGCTGGGGACTTGGAAGCTTGAAAAGGTATCCCTACTTGCTAAAGTCCATGCAGATTTGTACTGTTAACCAATGTACTCCCACACATGCACCATAGGAGGTGCCATGAGCTCAGGCTTCCTGAATCTGACTTTTGAATCCATTGCATTCTCTGTTTGTGGGTTTTGTGGAAATATTGTAGGTCTGAATTTGGCGAAAAAAGGACAAGAAAGCCTGCACTACAATGTGAATGGAGGTCAATCCCTTAATTCTGTGCCTTGTCCATCAACCTCTGAGGGCCTCTCTCAAGCCTGGACTAGGCCTCTTGATAGGGACATCTCTTGGTGGCAGAGTCTGCATCACACAGTCTCCATTTGTGTACATGACTGTTGTCTGTTTTTAGCAATGACATCACCCCGCTTGGTATTGTTGTTTACGAGGCTGTCTCCCTACCTGGCAGGGGGCCACTGCTTGGGCAGTCAGAATGGAATTCCTGTGTCTTCCAGTCCCAAGCACTGGACCCCCGCAGTGCTGCTCCGGAAATGCCTGTGGAATCAGAGCGGGGACTCTCCCAGGTGTTGGGGATTTACTGTTTGCCAGGCCTATCCCCGATGCTTTATATGTGTTTTCTCATTTACACCCCCAAGATAATCTTGGGAGAAGTTACTGTCCCTATTTCACTGAGAACAGACAGACTCATTAGGCTTTACTTGTGGCTATAGATGACCAGGACTGACTGTAGGGCCTGTGGTCTCACTGTGCATTATGGACTCTTGGACGTTGTGGGGGGACACACATTCCTTGGCCCCTAGGGTCCTCAAAGACCTTCTGTAAGCAACTCTCATTTTACCCATGAGCAGACAGAAGCCAGAAAGGAGAAATGACTTAATTACAGCTCCTCTTTGCCACTTTCTATTGTACTTAACCACAGTCACGTGCTTTTGGGCAGGATAAGATGTGATTTTATTCACTGTTACACCACCCAGATAGCCTGACACTCGGTAAATACTATAAATTTTATTTATTATGGAAACATTGAGAAAGGTGTAAAGATTAGGATAACACCCATATACCCAGCATTCTGTCATAGCTGAAGGCCTCTCCACATCTGTACTCCCCCAGAGGCAGAGACTCTCGTGAGTTTGGAGTTTTCCTATGCAGTTTTTTATTGAGAAATAAGACGTCGTATACCATAAAATTTAATCTTTTCAAGTGTACGATTCCGTGTTTTTTAGTGTAACACAAAAATGTGACTCCGTCAGCACAGTCTAATTCCAGAGCATTTCATCATCCCCGAAAGAATACCCATTAGCAATCATTCCTCCATTCTTGCCTCCCTTCAGCCCCTACCCACCACTAGTCTGCTTGCTGTCACTATGTATTTGCCTCTTGTAGACTTTTCATATAAATGGACTCCTATATGTGGTTTTTTCTTTCACTTAGTCTGGTGTTTTCAAGGTTCACTCATGTTGTATGTGCACCAGCACTCCATTCCTTAGTGTTCCATTGTGGGAATACACCACATTTTGTTCACCCATCAGCTGATAGTGAGTTGGGTAGTTTCACCCTTTGCTATTATGAGTAAACATTGCCATGGGCATTCATATACAAGTATTTATGTGGACTTGCTAGGTCACATGGTAACGCATGTTTAACTTCTCAGGAACTGCCAGACTATTTTCCAAAGTGGCTGTACTATTTCACATTCTCAACATCAGTATATGAGACTTTGTTTTTACACCCTTACCAACACATGTCTATTTGTTGTTGTTGTTGTTTTTTTTTTTTTCATTTATGCATGCAAGAACTGGGGTATAGGCCAGAGGTGCGGTGGGTGAGAGGATTCACCAGACAGAGTGGGGAGCAGAACAGGCAGATCTACTGAAATACACTGCTGAGGGGAGCAGCGGGTGAAACAGGAGAGGTCTGCTGCGCCGTGTGGGTCACCTCCCTGGTCGGGGATCGAACTCATGTCACAGTGGCTGCTGGTAGCTTGATAGTGCTGAGACTTTAATCCTGGCGCCACCAGGGAGGCCCGGTGCTTGTCTATTTGATTATCAGTATACTAGTGGGTATGAAGTGGTATCACATTGTGGTTTCAATTTGTATTTCCCTAATGATGTTGAATGTGTTTTCATGAATTCATTGGCCATTGAAATATATATTTTTTTCTGAAATTTTAAAAGGACAATTTTATTAGGTAAAGGAGAAAGAAAAAGAGGTGGGCAAGATTGTTGCCAGCCATTGCTATATCTTCTTTGGAGAAATGCTGCCTCAAATCTTTGGCTTTAAATTGGATTATTTGTCTGTTGTTGAGTTGTAAGAATCCTTCATGTGTTCTGGATACCAAACCGTTGTCTTATATATGACTGCAAATAGTTTCTTCCATTTTGTGGTAGGTCTTTTTGGTTTCTTTGAAGCACAAATGTTTTTAATTTTAATGAAGCCCAATTAATTATTTTTCATTTGGTTGCTTGTGCTTTGTTCGTTTTATAAGAAGTCATAGGCCTAATCTAAATCACAAAGATTTATACCTATGTCTTCTAAGAATTTTGTAGCTTTTGCTCTTACATTTAAATCTGATTCATTTTGAGTTAGTGTTTATATGAGAGCCTATGTATTTTTCATCCTTTTACTGTTTTTTTTTCCCTAAATAATATCTGATACTGTGTTCCCTATTTTTTGGACTGTATATAAATTGTAAATATTGTATATATTTTTATGCAACTGGATTTTTTCATTCAGTCTTATGTTCAGGAGAGTTATCAAGTTGGTAATGGTAACTAGTTCACTTGTTTTCACTGCTCTAGAGGTTTCATTGCATTAAAATATCATATTTTATTTATCTTTTCTCCTGTGAATTTATCTTTTCTCCTTTTCTCCTGGTTGTCTCTGCTATCTTGCTATTACAAATGGTAAACTGTCTAAAATGTGCTTCCTTATGTAGTATGTTGAAGTTCATGAACTTATTCAGATTTACTGGGCACTACAAAATTTCTCTAAGTGGTTTTCAATTTTCTGCTCCTGCCAGCAGTGTTAGAATTGCTGTTGTTTTATATCCTCGCCAAGACTCAGTAGTGTCAGACAATTTTTTTTGTTTCTGCTAATAGTAGTTGTGAAATGATATCTCATTGTGATTTCCCAAATGAATAGCATAGTTTTTCAGTAAATATTTGCATAATTGGATAGATGGATACATGAAAGCAGAACAGATGAGTCTCTTTGATGAGACGTGAATCCTTTTCTCTGCCTGTGGCTGGAGGATGGCAGGGCTCTGCCCCTAGACTGTGATGGCCTTTTGTAGGGAGATCCTGGGACTAGTTATTAGTTGAGCATCTGACAGCTCTAAAAGAAGGAGAAGGCAATTATGGTTTGGAAAGCAGTTGATGGGCGCCTTTCCCCAGGGAGAGCTCAGCCCTTCCATCTCCCTGAACTTTTACCAAGAAAAAAGGGGATTGGAGAAAGAGAAGCCAGAGGAATTGTGTACAGATGAGAATAGGGGGCCCCATCATTCTAGGTGACCTTATGGCCCCTGTATTTTTGGGGTATGTACTTTCCTTGTTTTACTGAGTTGGTGGTGATGATAATGATGAAAGCAATAATTATATATTGAACACTGTGTGTGAGGCACTGTGCTTTTTTTTATATGATTATTTCACCTAATTCTGTATGAAGTAGGTGTTGTTATTCCTGCTTTACAGATCAGGGACAGAGGATCAAAAGACTGAGTGTTTGCACTCAAGCAGTTTGACTCCAGACTGCTTAAGCACTGTCCTTGTATTGTTGGCCCAG